GATATTATGGTTACTACTCATCATGAAGAGATGTGTGAGCATTCTATGAGAGAAGAATCAACAGAGGAATGGGCACACTACTGTGGGTACTGTGGGTCATGAGGTGAGACTCCAACTAGGGAAACTAGGAAGAGAATCTTGGAGGAAAAGCACCAACGTCACTGATTGGGTAGTATGTCGAAAGCACTTGTGATGGGTATGTTTTAGAAGTTGGATGCTTTATTGATGAAACCATGTAGCTTGGTAAACATAAAACCCAGAACATCTTATAATTTCCACTAAAGCCATATGTTTAGCAAATGGGTTTATGGCTTAGCTGTCTCCTCTCTCTCTCTCTCTCTCTCTCTCTCTCTCTCTCTCAATGGAGGTTATGTCCCATGAAGTCCCAACACCCTTCAGCCCCAAATAAGCACACAGAGACATATTACTAAACTGTGGCTGATGGCCAGGGCTTCTTACTGGCTAGTTCTCTTTTAATTATTAACCCAAATCTACTAATCTATGTATTTCTACGTGGCCTTATCTTACCAGAGAATGCCTAGCATGTCCTATCTTCCTGGTCTCTACATGGAGTCTCTTCCTGGTTGCCTCTCCCTGCCTTCCTCTCCCCAGCCTCTCCTGATCTGGGAGCCCCATCTATCTTCTTCCTGGCTATTTGCCAATCGGTGTTTTAGTCATCAAACAATAAGAGAGGCATCTATACAGAAGGACATCCGCATCATCTCTTTCTCCCTGAGTTCATATGTTGTTAAGACAGCCTCTCGTGTAGCATAGACTAGTGTTGGGAACTAACTATACCTCTCGTGTAGCATAGACTAGTGTTGGGAACTAACTATATAAATAAGAGCGACCTTGAACCCCCAGTCTTTCTACACCTGCCTCCCAAGTGTTGGGATTAAGGGTTTGTGTTACTACGCCGCAGGTTATTGTTCTTTCTCTTTTGCTTATTGTTTATTTTTATGCAGGATCTCACTTCATAGTGTAGGCCAGCTTGGAACTCACTCGGGAGCCCAGGTTGGCCTTGAACTTGTGGCAGTCCTCCTGCCTCAACCTCCTGAGTGCTGGACAGGGCAAGCATGTTGGCGCAGCTTGTTACTTTCTATATAGCTTTCAACCCTCCTCATTTCGCAGGGTGGATTTTCATCCCCTCTCCCATGCCACGCTGGTACCATTGCCTGTGTTGCCTTGTTCCTGATGCTGCCTGCTGAGTCTCAGATGGGGATGCTCTCTTTTTGCTTGCCACCACTTGCCAGCAGACAGGGATTGCCAAGTACTCATTAAAACAAAAAGAAACCAACCATTGTCCTTCCCTCAGAGGTGATCTCTGAAAACACTTGGGGGTTGTGTTTAACTGGACTTTTATTTTTCTATTTATGTAGAAATTGCATATTTTAACTACAAACAAGACCATGCCACATTAATTTTTTTTAATATGCATCAGAGTATTGGGCTTATTCCTTCGGCTCTAAGGCCTGCTACTCATGACCCAGGCAGATGGCATCAACGACTCCATGACATAAGAAACAGAGACCGTGCAGCCATGTGCCAGACAGTACTTGCGCACAGCTGCTGCTGAGTAGACCGCAGGCATTTGTAGCTCACATACGTTTTTAAGTTTCATAAGCCCTTATCAAATTTGGGATTCCAGAAGTCTAAGTGGAAGGCAAAATACTTTGCTTATGGAGTTCCCGTCTAAGGTAAAAACAAAACAAATTCCAAACCAACAAGTTGAGATACAAGAAAATCCAGATGCCTGTGCTGCTTTCATTAGAACACTGTTGATCTTTCCGGAAACAGGCAGCAGGCTTCTTCCTGGTCTCCAGGGCTGTCATTGAAGTTTTGTCTTGTTTTTAAGTTTCTTGTGTGGTGTGTGTATCCATTTATGTCTGTAAATGCAGTTACACGTATACTACTGTGAGTGTGTGGAGGCTGAAGGACAGTCTTGGGTGTGGCTCCTTGCCTTCCTCTTGGTTTGTGAGAGGGCCTCTTGCTCACCTCTGCCTATGCTAGGCTGACTGGCCTTCAGGCTTCTGGAGATTCTTCTGTCTCCTCCAATCAGGCAGGAGGGCGGCTGCGGTCACACGCACTAGCACGTCCAGCCTTATGTAGGTTCTGGGGACCTGAACTCACGTCTTCACACTTGCACAGCAGGACTTTACCCATTGAGCCATCTTCTGAGCCCCTCCTTGGTGGTGTATGTCTGTGACACCTTTAATCCTAGCACTTGCAAGGTAGAGGCAAGAGTTCAAGGTCATCTTGGGTCACACAGCAGAGTTCCTGGTCAGCCTGGGTACACAAGACTCTTTACCTCCCACCCTCGACAAAATGATGTGTTAAAATACTCTCATTTCTCTAGCCATTTGTCCCAAGGGCACAGGTCAGTTTCAGAAAGGAGCTCTGACAGACAGGACTTCAGGGCCGCCTCACTGTCACCCCTATGGGCCTCCATCATGCCATCGGGGAATTCTGTGCTTCCCAGCGGAACAGTCCATTCCTTGTTCATGTTCCGTGTAACCAGAGCATCGTGCCAGGAGCACACCTGCCTGCTCTGCCATCCTCCACCGGAAGCAAGCTTTCCAAAGTGCGTTCTTCCCGTGTGTCTCCCACGAACTGATGCTGCAGTTTGGGGGCTATCAAGGAAGTCTTTGAGCCCTCAAGGACAGCACGGGCAGTGGACAGCTGCCCCCTCACAGCTGTCCATCACTCCTGTCTTAAGCTTGGTGGCTAGGGGCACTGGGGCAGCCAGCGGATTACTACGTGGGGTCTGGTTTATGGGACATTAAAAGTCCTCTCTACCATTCATACACCTGCACACCTAGGACTCAGGAGACTGAGATAGGAGAGGTACAAGGCCAGCCCGTGTGGCACAATCTCAAAACAAAACACATGCCTGCTTTCCCGTTTTCTCTAAAACATCTTTTCTCCGGTGCCAGGAGATTTTTTTTTCCTTTGAAGAAAATTTCTGGAAGCTTTAAAGTAGTACCTCTAGATGTCCAAGGTTAAGACTAAAGTGGGTTTTTTAAAGTTAGTGTGTGTGTGTGTGTGAGTGTGTGTGTGTGTGTGAGTGTGTGTGTGAGTGTGAGTGTGTGTGTGAGTATGTGTGTGAGTGTGTGTGTGTGAGTGTGTGTGAGAGTGTGTGAGTGTGAGTGTGTGTGTGAGAGTGTGAGTGTGTGTGTGAGAGTGTGTGAGTGTGAGTGTGTGTGTGAGAGTGTGAGTATGTGTGTGAGTGTGAGTGAGTGTGTGAGTGTATGTGTGTGAGTGTGTGAGTGTGTGTGTGTGAGTGTGTGTGTGTGTGTGTGTGAGAGTGTGTGAGTGTGTGTGAGTGTGAGTGTGTGTATGAGAGTGTGTGTGAGTGTGAGTGTGTGTATGAGAGTGTGTGTGAGTGTGAGTATGTGTGTGAGTATGTGTGTGAGTGTGTGAGTGTGTGTGTGTGAGTGTGTGTGTGTGTGTGTAAGCCAGAGGTGAACCTCAGGTGCGTACCTCTATTACTATCTACATTTTATTTTTCTTGAGACAGCTTCCCACAAATTGCATTCACTGATTGGCTACACTGACTGATCAGAGTTTATCAGGCTTACATATCCCAGACCATGGTCCATCAAGGGAAGCCAAGGCAGGAACTCAAGACAGGAACTGATGCAGAGGCCATGGCAGAACGCTCACTGCTTAATGGCTTGCTTCTCATGGCTTGCTCAGACTGCTTTCTTACAGAACCCAGGACCAACTGTCCATGAGTGGCACCACCCACAGCAGGCTGAATGAGCCCTCCCATATCATTAATGAAGACAAGTACCCCACAGACTTAACTATGGGTCAGTGTTATGGAGGCATTTTCTCAAGATGCTCTCTTCCTAGCTATGTCTAGGTTCTTGTCAAGTCGATAAAACACCAACCAGCACAATCCCATGCTTTTATGTAGTTGCCTAGGATCCAAACTCTGGTCTTCATGCTTACAGGGCAGGCACACCACCCGCTGAGCATACCTACCAGCCTTGATGTAGAGGAATTCTTAAAAATGGAATTCTTCACACAGTGGCAGCATTGTAACCAGTTAGATTTATTCAAGGTGCAATTATTACTAGTTGGAACAATTTCCCTAAAACTGGGTAAATGAACAATACATGAGAAAAAAATGAATATAGAAAATATGAGTGAACTAGTCATGCTTTATTGAAAGAATTGGTGCCTTGAGGATAAAATTAGAGGTCCAATGTGATGGGGGAAACTATGTAACAAACAAATGATACTGTTGTCCCTTTGCAAAAGTTTCCAAACACTGTTGGGGGACAGGGAGGGTTGGCTGTGTCAGATGCTAAGGCGGCCTGTGCCTCAGAGTACTGGGATTAAACGCATGAGCCACCCACACCCCAAAGAACCGTTTGTTAATAAGATGTTTGCACAATATTACTTTTACTACCCCAATTCTAATAGTCTATCACTTTATCAAGTCATTGATTTAGGAAATATTTCTCCAATACCAGCAGCCTCTAGAGGCCAACTATTTAGAACTGACCTCTGCTTTCAAGAAACTTCGTGTGGTAGGACACATACTTACAACACTCAGTAGTGTGACTTACATCAAAACCAACCACAATGGGGCATTGCAGCCACAGTAGAAACTGTTACAGAAACATTATCGAGAGCCCACTAGCTGCCGTTAGTCAATGGTACAAGACATGCCTTTGGGCATAATGATGTTGAGGACACATTTGTTATAATTATTATGATTGTGGTGCTTTATAACGAAATGGCACTGTAGTAAAATGAGAGAAAATCATATTGAACTATCTCGAAATGTTATATCTATGCTCTGTCATCCATCAGCATAAAGGATTCTGCTAATTCAGTAAATATCTGAACATCAGCTTCAAAAAAAAATGTATTTTTCATTGCTAACCAACATCTTTGGGACCTCACTGAGTGGCAGCCACTTAAATCCTCTTCCGTACCATTCATTGCATGGTTTTCCTTTTCTTCTCTTTTAACTGTCTGCTCTGAAGAACATTAAACGGAAGCCGCTGCTCAGCTCCCAAGATGGTGCCACTCAAACTGCATGCACTCGTCTGCCTCTTCTGCTGCCTCCCGTGGGTGCAGCCTTTTCACTGGCAAGACCCCCTTCCTTTTGACTTTAGGTCGTCAGGTAAGAGACCTCAAACTCCAAGTGCTGCCGCATGTGTTGATGTGTGAGCAAGTCCTTTTAAGAAGAGTTCATTCAGGGGCTGGGGAGATGGTCCAGGTGGTAAAGAGCCTATTGGGAAAGCTCGAGAACCTGAGTTTGATTCCCCAACACTGATGTAAGGAGTTGTTAGTTTTGTGGGGGGTGGGCAGAGACAGGGGGATTTCTGAAACTTATTAGCAGACAACCCTAGATGACTTGATGAACTCTAGGTTCAGTAAGGGATCCTGCCTCCAAAAAGCAAATATGGAGGGTGATCATAAAAGACACTGTTCATGTATACATATATGCATGTATACCTGACCAAGCATTTGTGCATGCACATGCTAACAAGGGCTCACACACACACGCGCGCACACACACACACACACACACACACACACACACACACACACACACGAGCATGCACTCAGCCATGCAGATATATTCAGGGAAATACTCATTCTGGGGTAGGAAGAGGCCTTACTCTTTTCTCTTTATGAACCAAACTGAATAAGCATGTGTTTTCTTGTCAGCTTGCTATGAGCATGGAAAATGCCTGAGACACCTCCCCCTCCCCCTCTCACTTCCCCTACTCAACCTCGGCCAGGTGCAGGAGCACACTTGCCTTGCCATTTGCAAGGAAGTCTCCAACCCTGGTTGTGTCTTGACAAACAAGCTTGGGCTGGGGGGGGGGGGGGTGGAGAGAAGTGTGAGAAAATAACAATCTGGACCCCTGAGATCCAAAGGGGGCATGGCTGTTTCTACCTAAGTGTTGAGGAGAAGCAGAGGCAAGTAGATGCCTGGAACTTCAGAAGAGAACGGACAGGGTTGCTTTCTCTCTTCAGCTGTGTTAAGGGGGGATAAAAGAAGAGGAAGATTTAGACCATACTAGGAAGAGTAGCTAGGGGACAGGTACATCTCATGTTACCAAGAAGGGCGGACCTTGCAAGGACATTGCTTCTGGTGCATCGTGAATGCCGCTTTATCTCAAAGAACTGTGATACAAATGTGTCTCAACCTGTGAAGAGCACAGCAGGAGGTGGCTAGAGAATGATGTCACAATGTCTACACCCACAGATCTGTATACCTGAATACTCTGGGTCTAATTGCCTCTGCTGGTTGGACAACTCTTTCCACGGCATCTACAAAAGGGATTGCATAACTCGGTGTCATCCAAATAAACTTTGCCCTACTTAGTAATTGGGGAAGTGGGTGAATCGATAGGAAAAGGACTGTGCCTTATATTGGTATCTGCACAGGTAATTGAATAATATCTCAGAGGTTCATTCATCCCTCAACACTTCCCAGGAAGTAAGTGCACTTAGTGTGACTAAGGTACGGAGGTTATCATCAGGGAACCTGGGATCTACTTGAAATGAAGTTAATTTTTCCAAGTATCAGTTTTAAGGAACGAAAACAGGTCACATGCTGGGCAAATTATTATCCAAGGTACATTTTAAGGCATTCACTCTAATCGGTGCAGGCTGAGACTTTTAAGACATATTTTCTACCCTCTTATCTTTAAGCATGACTAGAAATCTATTCCTAAGGACATGGTTATTAGTTATTCATGTCCCTGGGACTTGTGTTAACCCAATGCCATACTCATTCTACATGCTCAGAAGTGGACTCATGAATGCCTTTAAAATTATAATTAATAGATTAAAACAATAGAAGGTTAATTTCCTGTTAAAGGTATACACAGAAAATATAGCTATTTGTGTTATGATTTACATGTGCATGTGTGTTTATAAGTACACGTGTGCCTGTGAGTGTCCACATCTGTCTACCTAGGCAGAAGCCAGAGGAGAATGTCCTGTCCTGTCACTTTCCACCTTATTCCTTTGAGGCAGGGTCTCACACTGAACCTGAAACCAGGCTGACAGCCAGCAAGCTCCAAATATCTTCCTGTCTCTGCCTACCACAGGACTGGGGGTTTGGGTCCCAGAAGCCACGCCTAATTTTTATGGGGTGCTACAGATTTAAACCCAGGTAATCGTGCTTGTGAAGCCGCCCCTCTTACACATTAAACCGTCTCCCCAAACCCTTCTTTTGGTTGTTTGAGACAGCTTTATGTGGCCCAGGCTGAGCCTTATGTAGCAAATGCTGGCCCTGAATTATTTATCCTGCTTGCTCCTCAAGCACTCTGTGTTTGTGTGCTGTCATGGGCTAGAGATACGTCACGTGCCGATGAAGGTCAGTGATATTATAAAGAAAATACAGCTTTTCTAGAATGGATACCTCTCAAGACTCAGGAATATTTGACTAGCAAAAATATACACTAAGGAGCATACTATAGGTCCAGAGTTCCTATTCAAATAAAGTTGGAGAGGATTAGGGAAAGATTAATTCTGGTCCAAAGCTATAGCATCCAAGATGAGATTGTTCTGACATCACTTTCTCCTCCTCCTCCTTCTCCTCCTCTTTTATGATGATACCAGATAGGTGGAGATTCAAACTCATGTGATGTGCAAGCTGTAAGGAACTCAGTCTTTTCTGTATGCAGTGTAGTACCTGGGACTCCTAGATTCTGGGGAGCCTAAAGGAGAGTTTTTCTAGAACCGCTGGTTATTTGAAGAGGTTCCCATGGTTTCAGTGGAATTAAGATCTTAGTTGTGGGCTGCTAGGTAAGGTCTCCAAAGTCGCTAAGAGTCCTCTGGGTGCCTCACTGAACTGTGAGAGTCAGTGGCCTCCCCACTGGTCTATCCCCACCATGGCTGCCTATGCATGGGGACACATCGGTGCACCAGCTCCTCATCACAGAAAGAATGGCAGGACGTATCTCCTACCTTGTGACTCTAGACTTGTCGCCTCCAAGTTACACCAAGTCTGACTTTACAGACAACCTGACATGGGAGAGGAAGAACCTTTTGTAATTCTAAAGAAGCCCCAGATAGTTCACTAATAAGGAGGCAAAACGAAAAAAAAAAAAAAAATCTTCGGAGAAATGCCCCAAATTTTGAATGTGTCTTAAAGGAGAGTGGAAACCCTAGTGTAGATCTCCTAAATCCGTCCAAGACTCCCATCCTTTGACTCATGAGAGGTAACCAGCTCTGCTGAAGGGACGAGGTGACAGCGGCCGCTGACCTCCAGTGACATGCTACAGTCAGTGTTAGGCATGGGTTGATACACTCATTTTATCGGCACAGCTGTCCTGCAGCTGGTTAAGGGCCTTGATCTCCCTCTTTACCGATGGGCAGCAGAGAGATGAGTTAAATTGCTTAGGCCAGAGCGCCATAGTTGCTATGTGAAACAGGGCTGCTTGGATCTAATACTGGGCTTCACTCTACCCTCTGTCTTTCTTGAAATCTCCTCCTATCGTAGCTGTATGGGTGTGGCAGGCCAAGAGATCTGGATGGTGACACAGCATTTCTTTGAGTCAGTCTACTTTGGATCTTTTTGATTCAACTGATTTGGAGCGAGGACTGGGATGTGCGTTTCGAAGCTCTGGGTGATCCCCATGATGCTGGCCTGAGGATCACCTTGGCGTAGGAGGTCTTGTGTATCGAAAGCCTCCATCAACGGCTGCTGCCTCACATATGAGTCATCGGTGGAGGGTGTGAATAAGATTAGTGCTGAGTCAAAGCCTTGCTGAGCAATGCTGCAGGATAACAAGGCGGTGCCACACTTCACATAGCTCTGGGTGTTTGGCAGAGCCGGAGCAGTGCGAACCACAGAGTATATATAGCAGAGGAATAAGCTAGCAGTTCAGTAAAGTGGATGTTGGAGGCAAGCTCAGTGTGTAAAGGAAAATAGGAGGCTGGATTTGTTGTTATTTGAATCCAACATCTATTTTTAAAAATTTATTATATTTGATGTATGAGTGTTCCGCAAGTATGTATACCTGTATGCCAGAAGAGGCTGCCAGATCCTATTATAGATGGTTATAAGCCACCATGTGCTTGCTGGGGATTGAACTTAGGACCTCTGGAGGAGCAGCCAGTTGCTCTTAACCTCTGAGCCATCTCTCCAGACCATGAACCCAACATCTAGAAGTAAAACATGGATTTGATTGTGGTTTAGAAGGGAGGGCAGTTGCAGGTGTATGGAAGGGCTTGGGCAAGAGAGAGAAAAGGAAATTCAGGAGTGGGTGAGTCAAAGAACTAATATGATGGGCTTGAATGAAGGACAAGAGGGGTTGGTGGTGTTTCATCTTAGTTCTCCTCCTTCCCACAAAATTTTACCGGACCTCGTTCACTGTATTTAGACTAGCGAGCAGGACCAGAGCAACAGCTAGTATGTGTCACTCTGTCACATAATATTCACACATAAGGAATCCTTGATCCTGAGGAAGAAATGATTGTGTCTGGGATCAGGGGATAATTCAGATTATGTAAAGATTTGATTGACTTGAAGGATTCTGGCCTGGAAGTCACAAGATAGAGAATTCTGGGGTTCAGGTGAAGCTGGGCAGTTGCAGGGTGAGAAGAGGGACTTGGGCGATGGCTGTGTAGTCTCTTCTCAGGCCATTGGCATTGCTATTGCTATGGAAAGATGTCAGGTCCAGATGTATAGGAGCGTACACATTCGGGGCATAGTGGCACATGCCTTTAATTCCAGCACTGGGGAGGCAGAGTCAGGCAGGTATTTGTGAGTTTGAGGCCAGCTTGGTCTACAGAGTGAGTTTCAGGACAGCCAGGGTTACACCGGTTACAGGGTTACAGAGAGACCCTGTCTGCACACACACACACACACACACACATACACACACACACACACACACACACACAGAGTACAAACACTAATCACCTACATCCATCTTTTTATTCCCGAAAGTGCCATTCATGGTTTGTACAAAGCAGGCCCTTGGGTAGCGTGAGAAATGAGAGGGTGCTTGGGAATGAGCCAGTCACTAATGTTCCTGTCACACAAGTATGAAGATCAGAGCTCAGACAGCACCCATGTAAAATCTGGGCATATGTCTATAATTCCCAGTGCTTCGGAGGTAGGAACAGCTGAATTTGTGGCACTCATAGGCCTGTTACCTTATTCCATCAGTAAGCTTCAGCTTCCGTGAGGAGTCTCTCTCTCTCTCTCCCCCCCCCCCACACACACGGACAGAAACTATGAACACAGAACTCCTAGCACAGTAAAGTCTGAGGTAGACTGGGTTGCTGCTATGTGTTTACGTTACATGAACCTATTTTTCAGCGTGGCTCCAAAAGATACAAGCAGTGATGTCCGCGGCCAGCTCTGGCCATAGTAAAATCCCCAAAGGAAATGGACCCTACCCAGTTGGTTGTACAGACCTGATGTTCGGTTATGCTAATGAGGTAATGTCTTAGTTTGCCTTAAGTCCTGAGGACTTGCCCTTGCTCTCTAGCACAGGTGGGGCCTTGATCCTGCAGTCACCTGAGGATGACTCATTGGCTGCTCCCCATTGCAACATTTTTTCCCTACTTATGTCATTCTTCAGTAATTTATGGCCTCCCGGTTAATTTACTGATAAATCTTATCTTTGCTCAGATTTTTCTTCCAGTCAAAGCATGGTTATTTTCTTTTCCTCTTTTGTGGTTACCTTCAGTGTGGTGATATGTTATTTATGACTTACTAAAGCTTGCCTGAGGATTCAGAAAGCAAAGTCAGCCTCAAGCTACAGAGATTAGGCAGTGGTGATATAAATATTTATTTAATCACAGCAGCCAGAAGCCAGGAGGTGGTGGTACACTTTTAATCCTAGAACTCAGGATTAAGAGGTAGGCAGATCTCTGTGAATCCAAGGCCACCCATATCTACATAAGATTGATCCAGTCCTAAAGAGAAACAGTTCACACAAAAGATGATCTCAGCACTTGGGATCACACTCCTTTTATCCCAGGACTCATGGGTTGTACTCAAGATAGGAACAGGGTCTCGGAGCTGGTGTTCATTCTCCAGCCACAAGGAGGCAGGAAGACTTTGAAGTCTTAGGATTCTCCAGTCATACTGAGGAGAGAGAGGCAAAGGTCTCAGGTTTGGTGGAGCCAGGATCGCCTTTTGGTCTGAGTAAGAGCTAGTGACCACCTGCTTTGCTTTTCTACTTTTCAGCTTGAGGTTTGAGCCCCAATATCAGCCACTGTGTCATTTATAATTCTGTGCCATGCTTCAAGGACTTGAACACTTTCCTGGGGCTCTTAAGGGAAGACAGGGATTTGGACCCTGACAATACAAAGATTCAAAGCACTGCATTTGGGCTCTGTTTGACTGAGAGTATGTGTCTTTCTGTTCCCACTAGAGTGTCTTCTTGCGATTGTATTACCCAGCTCAAGATCAAGATCACCTTAACACAATTTGGATCCCAAACAAAGAATATTTTTTTGGCCTTAGTAAATTTCTTGGAACACCTCAATTTATAGGCAACATTTTGAACTTCTTCTATGGTAAGATTTCTATTGGTCCTGTGTGTGTGTGTGTGTGTGTGTGTGTGTGTGTGTGTGTGTATAAGAAACAAAAGTTATAAGTAGTAAGACTAAGGTTGATTTTCTCCTAAGATGGCAAGGATGGGATTTCTTTCCTTTAACAATGTGTGTGTGTGTGTGTGTTGTGTGTTGTGTGTTCTTCTGCACATGAGTATTCATTCACATACGAAGGCCAGAGGACAACTTGTGTTATTTCTCAGAAACTCAGTCTACCATCTGTGAGACAGGAGACCTCTGTAGTCTGGGGCTCACCAGTTGGGCTAGACTGGCATATCAGCGTGCTCCAGGGACCCTCCTTCCCAGCCTCTGAAGAACCAGGATTACAGCCGTGTGGCTGGTGTTTTTATACCACCATATGCAAGGCAGACACTTTAACAGTTGAGTGATCTTCCTAGACAGGAAGACAGGGGTTTCCTAGGGAGTAGGCAACACCAAGAGAAGCAAGGAGTCTTTATCCTTTTAAGCATCCTGGTTGGGATGGGATGGGGATGGAATGGAGTGGGATAGAATGGAATGGGGATGAGGATGTCATATTCGCCTTAACATCTTCTTATGCGTGATCCTCAGTTTCCCTTCTTACATCCTGTGGTGGTAACCACAGTGTGGCCAGAGCAGCAAATTGTCTGGTGGGACCATTGCCTGTGTGCATTTTGTGTCAGAAGAAAATAGAAAAATAGCAGCCAAGCCCACTTATCATAGTAAGGTATCTCAGTTCGTGCCCATCCCCCACCCCAAAGGACCCGCTCCTCCCTTACAGTCATCATTTACTATGTCTGCATTGTACCAAGGGAGACAGAAGTTCCTAATATTTGTTAGATCAGGTGTAAGTTTGAGCCTATGTTAATTACGCCTTCAAGTTTATCCTCCAAAATGTTCAGGTTTGGGAATTCCCTTTAAGCTTCTCTTCAGGTTTCCATAGAAATTGCTCTAAAGTAGGAAAATACCCTAAACTAGAAAATGCTGCTGCATAGCATGGAGTAATTTATAAGCCACTTCCATAGAAACCACCACATTCAGTCTTCATGACCACATCTTTGTTTTATGATAAGAAAATGGCATTCAAATGACCATGGCAGTGATGACGAAAACAGAGAAACAGATGTGAAGGAGGGTGACGTTTCCCAGCTTTGGGCTTCTTACGGTGCTTTATATATATAAAGGGATACGTTATATAAATAAAACCTAATACGTTATATAAATAAAACCTAATTAGTGTTTAAGATCATAATCACCCCCACCATCTTGCCGAGGACCATGCCCATGGTCAATAACTAGTCAGCAGCTGTCCCATGAAAACCCCCCTCTCGTGTGTGAATCCACCATCTCTTCATCCTCTGCTGGACTGTGATGCTTCCTGACAGTAGACTCTGGTTTTCAGGTCCCAGCTATCAGTACACTATCTAAGATTTCCAAGATGGTTGGTTAGTTTTAAATTAAATGTTCAGCATTGTCTCACAACCTCAAAACAGAAACAAGCAGCGTCCTTCTAGAATAAGCCTGTAAATAGGAAAATCTGTCCTCGTGAGGCGTAGCAGTGAGAACTGACTGGTAAAGGATGCATTCACAAGGGAAGGCAGGCTGGAGGCTCTGGTTGGTGAGTATCTAGTATCTGGCTTTTAAAATGAGTGTCCTGATTTGTAAAATCATAGTTAAGACTCCATGGGTTGGGGGTTTGTGCCAAGACGGTGTAAATTCATTAGCAGCAGTAAGCCAGAGGAAACTTTGATTTACCTCCCACTATTGTCTAGGTTCAATGACAACGCCTGCAAGCTGGAATTCTCCTGTCAGGACTGGTGAAAAATATCCACTAATTGTCTTTTCTCATGGTCTTGGAGCCTTCAGGTAATGCCTGGGAGACCAGACAGCTTTAGTTCCAAGCCATCACTGACTAGATTTATTTCTTTAAAAAAAAATCAGATTTCAGAGTGTAATGTTGTCCCATGCTGGACACTTGGGGTCCCCTAAGTGGGACTGTGGGACTGACAGAAAGTTGGGCGTCTAGAACACTATTATTTCGGCTGCAGTAGTGATTGGCAAACGGGAAGTCACGAACCAAATCTAGCTAGCCACCTATATGAAAGCTGTCTCGGAGCAGAGCTTCAGGCATCCAGCTTTCCCATTGTCCGTGGCTGCTACAGCAGAGTTGAGATGTCTTTCTCATAAAGCTGGAAGCAGCTCCTCTGACCTGCAGCAGGCAGGGCTCCAAGTCTACACAGTAGACCACACCCCTTCCCGCGTCTGCAACAGTGGAAAACACAGTTCCTAGACAGCCCTCCTGTATTTCCACGGACAGCGACTACAGAACATGCGATGTGAGAAAGAGATCTTACAGAATGGAGACATAGAAGAGTGTAAATGTGACCGTTCATAGTTATTAACTGTCTTCTCTCAGTTTGATCATTTCTGGAACACTGCTTTAAGTAGTGTTGCACTGCTTTAAGTAGGTTCAAGGCGCTGAAGATACATGCACTCGCCTGACCTTGGTGATGGCCAACTTTCACAGAGAAGGAGCCATAGCTGTGAAGATGACTCCGGGCTAGGAAGTGCTGGAAGCTGGAGTACAGTCCTATGAATTACCCTATGTGCATTTCCTTGTCATAAGTTTCTGGAGCTGTGGAGAAGGGTCAATAGTTATATAAGCACTTACTGCTCTTGCAGAGAACCCAAGCTCTCAGTGCCCATATCAGGTAGCAGCTCTCAACTACCTATGACACAAGGGATACGATGGATACAGTGCCTTCTTCTGGCCTCCATGTGCACATGCACACACATGCACATACACATCTACACATAAGTAACAATGTTTAAGTCTTTAAAAAGAGAAAACCTTACTTCCTCTACCCTAAATGTATGCCTTTGTTCTTAGCTCTATTTCACAAGTGATTACAACATTGAGTGTCTAAATATCAGGTAGCTAATAAATGACAAAGATTCAGTAACTTCACGCTCAAGTTCAGATCGCTTTACCCCTGAGCTGTGTCCTTAGCTCATGAGAATGGCTCCTCCCTATGGCTCCTCGTTTGCCTTTGATAATGAAGGTATTTTTGCGTGTCACCAGAAAGTGGACAATCAGCTACTTTTCTGAGCACTTCCTAAGAGGAAAGGGAAGTCAATAGATGAGAAGAAAATTGAGTCAAGGATGAAGCTAATAAGCCAGCCTGGTAAGGAATGAAAGATCATAGTTAAATCTATGTGTGTTGTAGACATGGGTCAGGTCTGAGAGTCATTATCTGTAATAACTGGAACATTAACTCTGAGCTTCATTAATTCAGAATTCTTGACATTTTTAGACCCAATAATTGCTTGCTTCAGAGGCCCTATGCTATGTACTAGGATGCTTAGCAGTGTCCATCTGGTCACTATATGCCAATTAGTGTCCTAATAAAGGAGGACATAAAACACCTCCAGACACCACCACCTGCCTCCTGAGGGTAAGCTCTTTGAGGATCAGAGCTGGCCAATATCCCAATTCAGGATGTATTGGGATCTGTGTTCCTCTTTTTCTTAGTGGACTAGGGTTTGTAATTAAGGTTGGTAAATGCAATGCTTCCACTTTTTGTTTTCCAGAACTATTTATTCTGCTATTGGCATTGGCCTGGCATCTTATGGGTTCATAGTTGCTGCTGTGGAGCACAGGTATGGTCCTGTGTATGTCAAATACAGAAAAAAAAATACCATGTTAACATCCCTAAGTGTACCTATAACTGGTCCTATCAGCTCATAAAATTTTACACGAGAGAACAAAAAGAGAATGAACTACATTGTCAAGACTTTCAAAAGAGTTCGTTCCCTGAGATCAATAAAGGTCTGCCATGGGCTAGGCTGCAGCATTTCAGACACTATCTCCATCCTTTAGAACTTGTGGCAGTCCTACGCCATGATTGTTTTATTCATTTCACACGAGATAGAGGTACTACAGGTAATTTACCCAAAGTACCTAAAGCTATTAGTTGACAATGCTGGAATTTGATTTTAAAGTTTTTGTGTTGTGTTGTATTATTTTTGCGGTACAGGGAGTTGGAAACAGGACGTTGTGTGTATCAGGCAAACATTTTAGCACTGAGCTGTGCCCCCAGCTCACAAGAATGGCTTTTCCACACGTTCCCAATGTTGCTTTCTAGGACTGTGATAATGGAGGGGTGATTTGCAAGTCCCTAGACAATGGGCGGTTAGATCCTCGTCCAAGCACTCCCTTGGAGTCCTCTTTTATTTGAGGAAGGAGAAGGTAGAGCAGAAGAGGCAAGGGAAGCCGGCAGATGAGAGGAAAATGGACCGGGGATGGAGCTGGGGAAGACAGATGAATGGGGTGTGATCAAATCTGTGTGTGTTGTAGAGATGGATCGGCATCAGCAACTTACTATTTTGAGGACCAGGCGGCTGCAAAGGTGGAAAACAGGACTTGGCTCTACCTGAAAAGGCTAAAACAAGAGGAGGCAGAGAGAGTTCGGAAAGAGCAGGTACATTTCAGTGAGGAGTAGAGGTGATGCGGTCTTCAAAGCCTGAAGAAGACATTCGTTAATGCTAACTGTCCTCCCCCTTACTTAAAGGTCTGTCGGAAGGCTCTCCCAATGGAGAAAACTCCTTTTATTGAAATGTCTATTTCACAGAAAAACAAACAAAATTGCCCTGGGAAATGACAATGACATTCAGAATTCTCTTTCTGAGCCCGGCAGTGGTGGCACACATCTTTAATCCCAGCACTCGGGTGGCAGAGGCAGGCGGATCTCTGTGAGTTGGAGTCCAGCCTGCTCTACAAGAGCTAGTTCCAGGACAGCCTCCAAAGCCACAGAGAAACCTTGTTTCGAAAAACAAAAACAAAAACAGAATTTTCTTCTGTTAAAGTATATAGTTTTTTTTATCTCAAAATTGATATTAAAAAAAAAAAGACTAGATCTTCAACCCTAGATGTATCTTTGAAAAGGTTTCAGGGAAGTTGCATACAATGGTCTAAATGTATAGGTCTTGCCCAGAACTCAGGAGGCAGAAGCAGGCAGACCTCTGTGGGTTTGAGATCAGCTTGATCTACACAGAGAATTCCAGGTCATCCAAAGCTACATAATGACACCTGTACAGGCCTTAAAATCCACTTATGTGCGAATGCCAGCCCCATCTCTTGACAGTGGAAAGACCCTGACCAAGTAAACCTTGTGCTTTGATATGTTACAAAATAGTGAATGACAGTATGGCCATTGGAATCATTAGTTGAGATAAAGTACATTGCCTGCTTTTTTATATTGGGGGTGATAGATGTATCATGCTATTTAGACCCACACACATTTCATTGAAGTAGGCTACATCACTACAGAAGTTTCCTTTCCAGGAAGCCCAGAAAGCTACAAGATTGACACAGTCTCTTCCTGAGGTTGTACAGGTAGGAAGCAGCTGATTGTTCTCCTGCTGGGGGGAGATAGCTTTTGTGAGTCACCATACACGCGACCCTGATCATCTTACCAGTTCACCAAGCTAAGTGTGGGACTTGGTGGCATTGTTTCTTTGGTCTGTTGGCATCCTCTCCGGGATGAACTGACTTTATTCACATGTCCCCACCATTACTATACAATAGTTAGAAACCCAGACAAGTCACACATCAGGCAAGCAAGAGGTGAGCGCTGAGCCTAGCTGAAGCCAGTACCCCAGTCATGGTCCCAGCTTGTATTCCTGTGGTTTTTTCACTGAGGTGTTTGCAGTATGTAACCTAACCGATCTCCCACAGGCAATGCTACGCAAATGTTAAGGTGCTACAATATCTTGTATTATCATTCATTTGCTCCTAATTATTGTTTTAGGTACGGCAAAGAGCAAAACAGTGTTCCCAGGCTCTCAGTGCAATTCTTGACATTGGACGTGGAAGCCCGAAAGAGAACATGCTAGGTTCTGATTTTGACCAGAAACAGCTGGAGGTGAGCATTTAGCAGAGCTCTTTCTTCACTGGACTGTGATATTGGGTTATTCTTTGTTGCCTGTTTTCCTGCTACATCACAAGGTATAGGATAAGAAACTTTGCCATGGATGGCTGGGATTGTCAACTTGACCCAATCTGGAATCACCTAGCGAGAGAGAGACTCAATGAGGGATGGTCTACGTTGGGTTTGCCTGTGGGTATTTGTTGTAGGGGACTGTTGTAAGTAAACTGATGTAAGAAGCCTGCTGTGGGCTGTTTTGAGCACTTTCCCTGCCAGCCTGGTCCCAGAGCTGAGTCCGTCCCAAAATAACACACAGAGACACTGTATTAAATGATGAAACTGTTGGCCCGTTACTAGCATTTCTTACTGGCTAGCTCTGTCTTAAATATTAACCTATAATCAATAATATATGTATTTCTACATGGTCTTATCTTACCGAGAATGCCAGACTCTCGTCCTCTCTTCCCGAGATCACATTGCATTGCGACTCTACTATGTTTCCCAGAATCCTCCACCTCTCCTAGTCCCACTTATCTAACTGTTCTATAGGCCATCAGTCTTTTAGTCATTAACCAATAAGAGAAACATATTTACAGAATGACATCTCCCATCAGTGGACAGCACTAACCCCAGGCTGGGAGTCCTGAACTGTGTAAGAGTGAAGAAAACCACCCGGTGGTAGCATACACCTTTAATCCCATCACTTGGGAGGCAGAGGCAGGTGGACCTCTGAGTTCAAGGTTTACAAGTGAGTTCCAGGACGGCCATGACTATTTCACAGAGAAAGCCTATCTCATAAAAACTGAAAGAAAAAAAACTGTGGATAAATAAATCCACCCGAGCCCAAGCAAACAAGTAAGCTAGAGAGCAAGTAAAAAGTAAACCACGCATACATTCATTTCCCTCTGCCCTTGACTGTTGTATAGTTTTAAATTCCTGCCATCTTGACTTTCATACCATTGTGGACTATAACATGGAATTGTGAGCTAAAATAAGCCCTTTCTCATCTAAGTCCCCCTGCCCCAGGATGTTTTATCACAACAGAAATAAAATTAGACCAGAGGTGTGGGTGTGTGTGTGTGCGTGCGCGTGCGTGTGTGCGTGTGTGATTAAAACGCATGTGACCGTGTGTATATATGTGTGTTCTATGTTATGTCATCAAGGTGCTTAGCCAGACCTGAAGTGAATAACAATTGCGTGACAAACAGAATTACTGGATGTAGTCCTCTAATGCCAGATGAGATAGTAACTCACTGCCCTGCTTTTTTTCACCCAGGGTGCTATCGATGAGGATAAAATAGCTATGATTGGACATTCTTTTGGAGGAGCAACAGTCATCCACACCCTTAGTGAAGATCAGAGATTCAAGTAAGAGAATGAGACAAAGCAAGACAACCAAAGTGACTGGAATACAGGGCAGGCTAACCCAGGAAACTGTTTCTGGAGTTCTCACGACTAAGGGATCTATGGGGTGTATAAGTCTTATTGTTTTTATATTTGTTTCATTTTTCATGTATGGATGCTTTGCCTGCCTGTATGTGTGTGCATCGTGTGGATGCATTGATCTGAAAGAGAGTCAGAAGAGGGGCATCAAATGCCCTGGAACTATATGTTACAGATAGTTGTGAGCTGCCATGTGAGAACTGGGAATTGAATCTCTGTCCTTGGCCAGAGAAACAGTTGGATTAAATCAATGAGCAAGCTATCTCTCCAGCTCAAGGTTTACTAGTGTTCTTTGCCTCCTTAGGCTCATACATTTTCTGAGGTAGAAACCATTTATGTGTCCTGCTAAAACCTTTCTCATCCCCTATATCACCCCTATTTATCTATAAAGGGTTTCACAATTCACTTGGAATCTTACCTTTATGTCTTTACTGTGACACGCTTGTGATAGTATTGCCTCATTTTTACAGACTTCCTTAAGACATTGGTTTTTTAATTTTATCTTTTCTTTTTTTTCCTCCTTGTCTTTAAGGTAAGGCTAGATCTAAAATCATAGTTATTTGGGCCAAATTAAGACAAGAGCCCAAGTTTCTAACATACAGAAACATTTTCTTTCTTGATCAGCTCATCCTAGACTCACATGGAACCAACTGCCTAGGGCATGGGCAGACCATTTGAGACATTTCCCCTCGATATAAGGGCAGTTTTTCCTGTCATCTACGTGGCATATGGGTGTATTTCCAAAAAGGCCAGGGAACAGGATCAAGCTTAGTGGAAAGAAGAAAATTTGATTTTAAATTGCTTAAAATTTATTTTCATTATTTTTAATGATGTGCACGTGTGTGTGCGCACGTGCGTGCACGTGAATGTGTACATGTGAGTGCAGGTGCACAAGGAAGCTAGAGGTGTCAGATCCCCTAGAGTTAGAGTTACAGGAGTTGTGAGCCACCTAGTATGGTCCTCTGCAAGAATAGTACAAGCTCTTAACCACTGAGCCATCTCTCTCTCCAGTGCCCAAAGGTCTCACAAGGTATGCTTCATGTCCTGTGTAAACCCTGTAAATACAGTCATCTGTGTCTGGAGTATCTGGTTACCATGAAATAGGTGGAACAGACACACTGTGAAGCACCTAAGACTTTGGAACAAGCTGGAGAGACTAATCAGCAGGTAGCAGCAGGCACTAGTATTCAGTTCCTAGCATCAAGTCAGGCAGTTCATAAAACTCCAGCTCCAAGAGATCTGGCGCCACCTGCTGGTTTCTCTGAAAATCTGCACCCCTCCCCCCATACACACAAGAAGCAAAGCTTAAGAAAATCAATGTTCGAAACACCGAAGAAATAAGGCAAAATTGCTGTTTTCCGGTTTTGAAGAAATTGCAACTGGTGTAAGTGTATTTTGAAAACCTTGTGGAAAAAATGAATATGGGAAACTTTTAAGGAAACAGCCTTCTTTATGTTATGATTCCTAAAGAAAATACTCAGGTTACAAAGCCGACTGTAGCTGTCTTGAGGTCCTCGCAGTGTGGTAGAAAGATCTCAGTTGGCCAGCCTGTAACTGGTCCTTCTCCATCACTATCAACCATGCCTACAGATGCGGGGTAGCTCTTGATCCGTGGATGTATCCGGTGAGTGAGGAGCTGTACTCCAAAGTCCCTCAGCCCCTCTTCTTCATCAACTCCGCACAATTCCAGTCTCCCAAAGACATCATGAAAATGAAGAAATTCTACCAGCCTGACAAGGAAAGGAAAATGATTACCATCAAGTAAGTTCTCATGGGCTATGATGATCTCGACTTGGAACTCGGTGGAGGGGCTGTCATGTGTCATTGGGGAGCCATTGGGAAGAAATAGCTGTGGTGGTTGTTAGGTTTTCTTTTAATATGGAGAATATAGTCTGTCATCTTCAGTACTCTCAGGCTCTCCTTCCTTTTCCCTTCTCTTCCTTCTTTTCTTTTCTTCTTCTTCTTTTTTTCCCCCACAAGACAGGTTTTCTCTGTGTAGCCCTGGGTGTCCTAGAATTCACTCTGTAGACCAGGCTGGCCTTGAATGCAGGGAACCATCTGCCTCTGCCTCCTGAGTGCTGGGATTAAAGGCGTTCACCAGCACCACCCACAGGCTTACGCTATGTTTTTTGATGTGAGGAATGAGAAGCAAACCCTGGTCATCTACAAGAGCAGCAAGTGCTCTTAACCACGGAGCCATCATCTCTCCAACCTCTGCCTTCAGTAAAAATGCTTTCCGTGCTCTTAATTACATGCCTCATATTGGAGTGTGAGCTGCCATGACATAATGAAATCATGCACCGTCCTGCGTTGGTGGGAACCATTCCTTCATCCAGTGCATGCTTATTCTATATGCAAACCTCTTGACAGTCACCTAGCCTCACCCTTGCCATCAGGTCACCTATCACGGTGTTATAGTATTCAAGATTACACCCAGTTCAGTAAATCAGTGAGGAAGGGAAGGAGAAAAGAGAAAGATGGCGGCTTTTCACGTTTTTTTCTCTCCTCTCCTCCTCCTCTTCTTTTCCTTTAACATACTGCTTTGGTTACTTTGCCTGTTTTTGTGTTAAACAAGAACAAAGCAACACTCTGTGGGCTGGAGAGACTGCTCAGAGGTTAAGAGCACCAGCTGCTCTGCAGTGGATCCGAGTTACAATTCCCAGCACCAACACAGCAGCTCACAATCATCTGTAACTGCAGTGGAGATTGGATGCCTTCTTCTGGCTCCCGTGGGTACTGTACATGTGGTGCACAGACACGTTTCATACACATAAAATAAAAAATGGAACACAATCTCAAAAACTCAAAAAGAGCACTCACTAAAAAAAGAAATAAAAGAGAAAACAATACTGCACTCCATCTTCTCAGAAGTATTCTGGTTAATGGAAGGTTGTAACTTATTTCTTCTGAAAATAAGATACAGGTTTTGCCAGTTAGTTTTTTGCCAACTTTATACAAACTGGAGTCACCTGGGAAGAGGGAACCTCAAGTGAGGTGTGCCCTCTGTCACGTTGGCGGGTAGGCTTGTCTTTGGGAGCGTTTTCTCCATTAATGATTGATGGGGGGACCCAGACCACCTAGTAGGGTGCAGCGCATGGCTGGATCCCCCTGGGTTCTGCTGAGCAAGCCATGGGGAGCAAGCCAGTAAGCAGCATTCCTCCATGGTCTCTGCATCAGTTCCTGCCAGGTTCCTGCCCTGCTCTTACCTCGACTTCCCTCAGTGAAGGACTGGATGTAATCTGGAAGTGAGCTAAACCCTTTCCTCCCCAAGCTGCTTGTGGCCATGCTGTCTATCATAGCAAGAAATATAAACTAGGGCACAATTTTTTACCCCTAGCAGGAAAAGGAATTATATTTTAGGATCCTTACATGAACATCTTTTGACCCTCACATACGTGAAGAATTTTCAGATTTCACATTCCGTTTCCTTGTTTTGCAGAGAATTGTCTACCCGGGCTGGAGTGGTTTATGTACTTTTGTGAAAAAACAAAAACAAACAAACGTTTTTTCCCCCCAGCAACATGAGTTATAGATACCTTTCTCTTTTAGGGGCTCGGTGCACCAGAATTTTGCCGACTTTACTTTTGTAACTGGCAAAATAATTGGAATCAAGCTAACGTTAAAAGGAGAAATAGACTCCTGTATAGCCATCGACCTCACCAACAAAGCTTCCTTAGCTTTTCTACAGAGGCATTTAGGTAAGAAATGGCTTTCCTCTGTGACTCAAGTCACTTGATTCTCATGGCAAAGCTGTTTTATACTCATTCCCTCTTAGACTTATGCAGCTGTTTCCATTTGGGTTTTAGTAGACAAGGCAGTAAATTAATTTAAAAGGAAACATTTCAAAAAGTGAATTATGCTGTCTTGCATTCTTTAGTATGCGTGTATGCGCGCATATATATATATATATATATATTTGTTGAACCTTTCTTGGAGCCAGGGTAAATTCACAAGCCTGGGATGCTGACAGCATCCTGCTTATCTCTAAGCATCTCAGGAGGTTCTGCAAATGCTAATGCAACCTGGCCACCTCAGACAGAACCCCTGGCTACCAGGTATCCTGCTGGCACTGGAATGGCTCTGTAATTTGTGATTCTATGGCGCCACCTAGTGGCACCCAACTGTTTAATATTCCTGACAGTGTTGTTATTATTATCATCTTCATCATTATTATTTTCATACAGGACTTCATAAAGACTTCAATCAGTGGGACTCTCTGGTGGAAGGAAACAACAAGAATCTGATCCCTGGGTCACCCTCTGATGTAGTTACCCTGTCCCCGGCTCTGTATCACTCTCCGGGATCGCACACCCAGAATTAGAGCTGCTTAGAGAGAGGAGGGAGAGGGAGAGAGAGAATGGAAGAGAGACAGAGACCTTAATGTATTTACGCAAATGACCGTTTTTAAGTGTACACTGTACTATGTACTAATGATGAATCCCTGGACTAAGGGTTTTCCTCCGGTGTAAAGAACATAAAGTACAGCATATTAAAATCATCCGCAATGTAGATCTCATCTTTACAAGGCTGGTCCTTCGTGTCAAATGAAAAGCTGCTTTCGTATTATACTCACAGAAAACGCTATCGATGGGAACTAGGGCAATGAAAATTTGTTGGTGCTTTGGGTTTTTTAATTTTTTAATACCTGATGTGTTTTGTTTACTAAATGGAGACACTGTGGGTGTTTGGCTGTGTGAGGCAGGCCAGGAATCCCCACATGCAACAGAACTATTTGCCCAAAGACTGTGAAGGACGAAGAGGAAATGTTCAAAATCCTCAGCCAACTTGGGATGTTTAAATTTATATGATACAATGCTGCTGCATGATTAACACCGAAGTGGATGTTTTCAAAAGGATCTTATAATATTTTGCGTGTACTGTGCGTGTGCATTGCATGTGGGTCCACATCACGGCACTTGTGGAGGCAGGAAGACAATCTCGGGCATCAGGCCTTGCCTTCCACTCTGTCAGTCAGGTTCTCTCTACTGCTCTCTGTTGCATATACCAGGTTAACTCCCCCTCTCCCCACCCAAACTACCAGGGTCTCTCCTGTCCCTGCCACAGAACTCATTGAGGAACACCAGGATTGCAGACGAGTCCTACTGCCCCGGACTTTTCCTGGGCTCTAGGGTTTCAGATTCGGGCCGAACCCAGCTCAGCCAAGGCTTCAGTCACCGGTTCATCTCCCCAGTCCTTCAAAGGTATACACATACGTCTACATCTGTAGCTGGAGGCTGCCTGATAGTTATGTCATATTCTGGTTTAAGCATCCTGTTGCTTCTACAGAATCTTCAGTGTGTGGCTTGGCTTAGCCTGTGTTAACAACCTGCAAGCCAGGCTGTGGCTTGCCCCCTCTCCTGCCCACTTAGTAGGTGACCATTTTCTGACTTGCCACTCAGATGGAGAACTGGACATCGCCTCCCCAGTACCCATTCACATTAAGCCTTTAAACAGATAGAAATTCCTTAACATAAAACTGAAGGTTTTCGTCATCTGGCCATAATGTATCTTCTTTTCTGCTTGGTAATTTATAATATTTCTCTGTCAGCCAAACTATCTGTTGTATTTAGCCCAAGAACAAGTCATGTTATTCTTCAGTTACTTTGTAAGAACTCTGTGTGTGTGTGTGTGTGTGTGTGTGTGTGCATGCCCGTGCAGTGTCTGTGTGTGTGTGCAGTGTGTGTATGTGCAGTGTACAGTGAGTGTGTGCAGTGTGTGTGTGCAGTGTTGTGTGTGCAGTCTGTGTGTAAATGCGCGCATGCTCAGTGTTTGTATATATGTGTTCAGTGTGTGTGTGTGCATGTGTGTGTGCAGTGTGTGTGTGTGTGCACTGTGTGTGCATGCGTGCATGCTCAGTGTTTGTGTATATGTGTTCAGTGTGTGTGTGTGTGTGTGTGTGCGCGTGCACGCGTGCGTGCACGTACTTGTACAGGTGCTGGTTGACAACAGAAGAGGACCCTGCATTTCATGGAACTGGAGTTGCAGATTATAAGCTGCCTCACAGGGGTGCTGAGAACCGAACCCAAGTCTTCTGCAAGATCAGCATGCACTCTGAACCCCGAGGCATCTTTCTGCCTGCTTCCTCATCTTGTAATGTAGCTTCCCCTCTGTTTCCACTTACTGAGATGAAACCCAGGTGCTGTGTTGTTGTTGATGATGATGATGTTTTTGTGTTTTCAAGACAGGGTCTCACTGTGTATCCCTGGCTAGCCTGGAACTCTCTATGTAAACCAGGCTTACTTTGAACTCTAAGATCTGCCTGCCTGTGAATCCAGAGTGTCACCATGCCCAATTTTTAAGGTGCTTAATTCTCACTGTTCCCAGGACAGTAGGGACCAATAATATTCCTAAACATACACTTTCAGCTTGTTCACTGCTTGGGCATACCCTTTTATTTTAGACATGGTTAAGTGTTGGGGCACAAAGAGTTTTTTAATTCAAGAATCCTTTTTCTTTTCTTTCTTTTTTTTTAATTGTCCGTGTTTTATGCAGAAACATCTAATGAGCTACAGTTTTAAAAATGAATTAGCAAACTTGGTGTTTCTTATAGGAAAGAGTAGTGACTCACACATTTCAAACACCCTGCATGTTGCATGTACGTTTTTGTATCTAAACTTTAAGAAAAAGGTTTTAAAAGTTTTACTGTATGCGTGCCTGCACTGTGTGCATGCAGTGCCCACAGAGGCCACAAGAGGGCACTGGATTCCCTGGATTGGAGTTACAGACATGTGGGCCATGTTGTGGACACTGGGAACCAAACAGTTGCCCCTCTGGAAGAGCAGCTGGTGCTTTAAATGGCTGAGTCATCTCTGAAGATCCCTCTTCCCAATTTTAAGCCTTCAAGAAGGTTTCGTTACCATGGCGTAGGTGAAAAGGCGTAAGAACAGTGCATTGCCTAACCAGGTCACATATCAAATATGTAGCTCATAGCTCCTGTCTGTTTCCAGAAGTGTGGCTCTGGACACTTTCCTCCACACAGCCTGGAAACCATTCTTCAAAGCCTGAGCTTTCAAATAAGATGGATCTGATTTTAATCAAACCCATTAAAGTTCTCAACTGGCCACAGACAAAATAATCAATGGTTCTAAAAAGCTTCTGGTTTTCTTTTCCTCTATGAAAGCTGGACAGTATTAATATTATGCGCCCCAGAGTTCATAATGAAAACAGGAAATTGCCTTTTTTTTCAGACAGGGTTTCTCTGTATAGCCCCTGGAACTAGCTCTGTAGACCCAGCTGGCCTTGAACTCAGAGGTCCACCTGCCGCTGCCACTGCCTCCTGAGTGTTGGGGTTAACTGTGTGTGCCACCACTGCCAGGTGGGAAAATGCCTTTAAAGGGCCTGGCGAGGGTCCAGAGAGAGGTTTGAGCTGGGAAAGGGGCTGCCCTCACTCTCGATGACCTCATTCAGTCCCCTGGATTCACATGGTAGAAGCAGAGTCAGCTCTTGCAAAGTTATCTTCTGGTCTGCTCGTGTGTGCCCGTGCATGCATGCATCCACACACACATGTCCTAATGAAATGTAATTTCACAGGTAAAGGCTAGCTTCCCCCCCTTTTGTGTGTGTGTGGGTCCCGTTATGCAACCCTGGGTGGCCTTGAACTTAATATATAGAGACCAAGCTATCCTCAGTTTCACGGGAGAAGGGGCTGCCTCTGCCTCCCGAGTGCTGGAGTTAAAGGGGTGTGAGTTACCACACCAGATCAAAACCAAGTTTTGACAGCACCAAGCTTACCCATGCCTCAGTTATAGAGGAGAGACAGAAGATGAAATGAGGTAGCACAGCTCTCAGGATAACCTTTATTCAAATCTTGTGGCGCATCTGTGTACATAGTTCAAACAGAACAGCAGCTACCTATTAAGTAGACTGATGAGGCAAAACTTCAAAATCAAAAAAACAGGGGTTCTGAAGACCTTGCTAACAGAGCCATACTGCCTGGTGGCATCCTGTTATGCTGATCACGAACCTAGAATTTTCTATTTTAATATAAATACTCTATTGTAAAGATACCATTTTAAAGTATAAATATAGTAATGTGTTATCAAATTGTTCAGTAAAATAAATTATCCTGGCTGAGAAGAAACAGGTTGAAAGACAAACCCTGACACCTAAGTAGCAATAAACGGGCTGCTTTGTCAACCTGGGACCTATTGTTTCTGTCACAGATCAATTTCCCCCGCTAAGGACAACTTCAGGGGCCATTAGCTTTACATCCGGTCTGGGTACCATGTGGCTGTGAAAGGCAGCGAGCATCTGACTGGCCGTGTCTATACAGCCGCAGTTGAATCGGCATCACCTCCACACTCCTCCTCTGAAACGGAAGAAAGGGTCCGAGTGAGAAAGCATTGAGAAAACAGGGCGGGGAGGAAGAAGGGTGCCCCCCCCACCTTTAAAAGACATGAGATTAGCTCATTTCATCGCCTTCGAGAACGAGGGTAACAAGGAGCCAATCAGTTTGTGGATTAGCCTGGCTTTTCCCATTCTGAATGTGACACAGTTCTAAGAACCAACAAGCTGCTCATTCTGTTTTTACTTTATGGGATGTGTGAAGGTAGAGACAACTTGGCAAGAGTCAGTTCCTCCTTACACCATGGTTAGGTGGGTGTGTTTTGTGTTTTGTTTTGAACTTGACACAAGTTAGGGTCATCTAGGAAGAAGAAACTCAACTGAGAAAATGCCTCTGTTAGACTGGTCTTTAGGCAAGTCTATGGGAGCTTTTTCTTAATCATGTGGGGGAGCCATGACTACCGTGGGTGGCACCAGCTCTAGGTAGGTGGTCTTGAGAGGTATAGGAAAAGCATTATGAACTAGACAGCAAGTCAGTAAGCAGCATCCCTTCATGGTTCCTTCTTCTGCTCCTGCCTGAGTGCTTGCCCTGAATTTCCTCAATGATGGATTGTGATTGGACCGTCCCAAATAAATCCTCTCCTCCCAAGTTGCTTTTGGTCATGGTGTTTTATCATTGCAATTGAGAGCGAAATTGGAACACACCATGTGGGATCCAGGCATAGAACCCAGGTCAGCAAGGCTTGGCAGCAGGCCTCTATGACCAATGAGCCATATGGCCACCCACCAAAGTACTGCTTATGGAAAAGAAACGTCAAGTTCTGGGAATACCCAACAAGCTGCATCTTGTCATGGAGATAAACTAAACAGAAATCCCAGAAGATTGACAGACAGATAATTCAATATGTGAGTAAATTAGCCCCGAGCAAGCACCTACATTTTAAGTTATATTTATTATTTTGTGTGATGAGGGAGGGCGGCTAGGTACCTGCACATGTGTGTGAAGGTAAGAGGACAATTTGCAAATGTCAGATCTCTCCTTTCACAGTATGGGTCTTTAGGTTTGAACTCAGGTCTTCAGGCATGACAGCAAATGATGCCATCTTGCTTGCCTCGAGAAAACCATTCTTTTAAAATACTAACTTTCAAGTTCAGAAGTTGATTTCCAAGACAGATTCAATTCACCAACAAATTCCCTCTGATATGTCAACACATCTTCCTATTTATCCCAATTAACCACATTTAAATATTTTAACACACCCCGCCCCCCAGCCTGGTTCTGCTAACATCCACAGAAGTTGACAAGCCATCTCGTTTGAGAGAGTAAAGGTAATGCTATCATTAAGAATTGGAAATTCAGGATGGCAAAAGCTATGGTGATTTTAATCATACAGGTTACCTTTGATGGTGGTGTCATCCGCAGACGACATGAAGGAAAGGTCCTTTTCCACTGTTTGGGATCCAGCCTAACAAATGGAACCTTTGCATTATTACCATTGTTAAAGCTGTAACTCACACTAGTTTAGAATCATAACCTCACCATGGATGAGGAGAAATGGTAAAATGCATTCCTGATGACTTCACGGTTTGGTTTCAGAGCCAGGGATCGGGCTCAAAACCACATCTTCTATTTGCCAAGCTCTCCCTCCCCTTTACATCTCTGCCAGAACATTCCACACAGGCAGGGGAGTACCTGCACTGGATGTAAGCTCCCCAAACCCTGGCGGCTTTGTTTGATGAAGGAAGGAGAGGGTATTTATGTAAATGGGTGTGCTAGTGTGTGCCCATAGTCCCGAGGAGAAGACAGAATGATCACAAGTTCAAGGCCATCCTCCACTATATAGGGAGCTCACGGCCAGCCTGGAAGATGCAGTATACTTGGTCCTAGAGGGAACATAAATACTCTACCTCATGCTCCCCAAACTCAGGAATCTTTGCAGAGGAGAGGGCAGAAAGAGAGTAAGGGCCGAAGGCAGTGCATGGCTGTAGGTGTGTTCTAAACACAGAAGGGCAGCGGCACGTGCAGAATCTTAAGACAGTGTGCACAAGCTCTATGCAAATCCCCAGATGGAGATGGGTGTTGAGCCCTACCCCCAGCCATAGGGACACTGACAACTGAAAGAAGAGGGGATGGTTTTCTCTAGAGCCTAGCATCTGCTAAGTCAGCTCCGCCCCAGTGGAAAACCACACACCCAAGAACACCTGAGCAGCACAAACCAATCTTGAAGGGCACAAAACAAAAAGTTGGGTGGGTAGGGAAGGGGAGTGGATCTGGGAAGAAGGGGGGGGAAAGGGTGTGTGTGTGAATATGATTAAAGCACATTTCATGAAACTATGTACTGAAAAAAAATACAAGCCGAGCTTTGAAAAAAAAAAGGTGTGTGTGTGTGGGGGGGGAGAGCCATCACTCTTCAAACAGCTGCTATTCACAGTGAGACTCAAATTAATGATGATTATTATCCCTTCAATAAGCAATGTCATTATGTGCAAGTGAAACGTATTAGTAAGACATTTTGTGGCAAAATTAAATCATTCAGATACAAATTCTTAAAAAAGTCAGAAACACAGCTGGACACTAATGGTTTCATGTATCTAAAGCCAAGCATAACTGACTGACTCGTAATACCTGTCTGTGAGTGGGTATGTGAGCTCACCTGCTTTAGAGACAGGGTCACCGAGTCCCGTCCCGTTAGTAACCAAATCAAACAATGTTGACACTTTTCTCGGAAGGAGCGTCTCAGTATCTGTTGGCTTAGTTAATGCCCACAGCAACTGTATCTATGACTGCCCCCCCCCACTCAGGTACTCCTATAAAGATCCTCCCAGCCTGCTTTGGTTGCCACAGGGTATTTTATCCAACTAGAACTGTACATATCTATATTTGAGTATGGACTCTTCAAAATTCATAGTTAGAGCCAACCAGAAGGGGAAAGAAATGGAGTGAAATTGTAATAAACTATTGCACCTCCACAAAGGGGGGTAAAGAGCAGAATCCAATGAGTTAACAGCCACATGCTCCAAAGATGACACAGTCTCTATATGCCAGACACTGCTTCTGGCCCTTTGGTGTAGCCAGTATGGAGTGAGCTCCCTAACCTCTCTCTTCTACTTACAACTTCTGGACACAATAGACAAAAGCAAATTTAAGTGTAAATGGGTTGGTTGGTTCTGGCAATAAACAAACAAACCAACTGGGACCCATGATAGGTGGGAGTTTCATTCCCTGCCCCCTACCTTTGCACCGAGAGCAGCCCTGTGTAAAAAAATGTTTACTGTGATTGGCTTAAGAGCTGGGCGGCCAAACGCTAGGCAGGGTTTCCAGGAAGAGAGGAAGCTGGGAAGAAGGGCAGAGTCTCGAGGAGATGAGGAGGAATCATGGTGTGTAGGAGAAGAGGTAACAATCCACGAGCCATGTAGCAGCGTATAAATGAATAGAAATTGGTTAATTTAAGTTACAGGAGCTGGTGGGAAAAAAGCCTATGCATTCGGCTGAGCTTTCATAATTAGTAAGAAGTCTCTGTGTAGTGGTTTGGGAACTGACTAGTGGGACAGAGAAAGACTCACTGCAGACCCGAGTTCGATCAGTAGCAATCATATAAAAAGCTGGGTGTGGAGAAGCATGCTAGTAATTCCTTTGTAGATGGGGACAAGGATAGGCAGCACCCTGAAGCTTGCTGTCCTGTCAGCAAAGCCAAAATGAAGAGCCACGGTTCCCGGTGAGAGACCTGCCTCAAAACAAAACAAAACAAATCCTGCCAGGTGGATGGCTCCTGAGGAACACGAGGTTGACCTCTGCCCACCACATGCTTGTGCAAACACATGCATGTATGCTGTCCACAGCCACGGGGTAGAGGAAATCTGGGGGAGGAAGAAGCATGGGTTTAACCTGAACACCAAGCATGAGCCTTTAAGGCTAAGGTTCAGGACAGGCCCGCCTTGTGCTTGGCCACTTGGCCGCAGTAGCCCAGGAAGCTCATAGACGGCGTTTACAACAGGAGCCTCTGTCCATCACCTATTGAAACAAAACCCAAAAGGACTCGGCTCACAGGGAAGTAGGGCAACCCGAGCCACATTTCTCCAGAGGTAAAACAACCGAAAGAGGCAAAGCGATGATCAGGCCCTGATACTGTGAGAAGCAAGGAGTTCAAATCCAACCATCCAAACACAACAGGTTTCCACACTGAGGGACACATCCTGATGGCTGTGGAAATTGGCCACCGTTATAGTCCTCAACAGGCTATAATGACCACACACACACACTCCTCCCCCTCTCCACCCCCCTCCCCCCCCCCGCCCCCCCCCCCCCCAGGCAGCATCACCTGTGTTAGCTATGTGTGAAAGAAATACTTGAAATTCAATATGGATGGTGAGAGGTGGGAGGGAGGCAAAGGCCCGCTTGGCTTTGCAGAGGGTTGACTGCAAGGGGCTGCTACTCTTTTGCCTCTAAATTAAAAAAGGAAAAGATATTTCATTTGTGTGTATAGATGTGTCTGTGTGGGTGTGTGCGGGTGTGAATGCAGGTGACCTTGAGGGCCAGAAGAGGACATCTGACCCCCTGGAGCTGGAGTTGCCCACGGTTATGAGCTGCCCAGTGTCCTCTGCAAGAGCAGCAAGCGATCTTAAGCTCTGAACTGTCTCCAGCAACTTCATTTTAAATTTTGTCCCATTTCTTGGAATATATATATGTACCATATGAATTAATACCAGACATTTTTCTTTTTTTCTTTCCTATTCTCCTCTTTTGGTTTTTGGAGACAGGGTTTCTCTGTGTAGCCCTGGCTGTTCTCAAACTCACTCTGTAGACCAGGCTGGCCTCCAACTCAGAGATCCTCCTGCCTCTGCCTCCTGAGTACTGGGATTAAAGGCGTGCGCCACCGCTACCTGATTTCCTTTTTTCATTCTTTAACCTCAAGTGAAAAATCACTGAGTAAACCATGAATGACTAGTTTGCCCAAGTGATAGTTGGCCTCCCATCTCAGAATCAGTTTGATATTGATGCTTTTACCTGTTCTTGATAACAGATTTCCCACCCCCAGCCCCCAGCCCCCCCCTTCATTACTCCTAACACAAGGGCTTTGAAAAGTGCTTGTCCAACTGTCTTGAAAAATGAGGAGCAATGCTTTCATTAGATAATGCTTACAGAGTCATACCTCAGAGGGGTTCTTATCTACCTTGGGGATACCATTCCAGACATTCTCTGGGCTTACTGTCTCCTCCTCACCATTTGAAAGGTTCAAGACCTACAAGAGGAAGGAAGGAAGGAGAGCTCTTAGTGAAAAACAAAACCCAAAACCAGGCAAGCTCCACAAACTGTAGGTGACAGAGGCGCCACAGAAACCCTTACAATAAAACAGTAAAAGTGATCGCACTGGGGGCTAGGGATATGGCTCTGTTCGTAGAATGAATGCCTGTCTAGCATGCATAGCTTGAGGCCCAACCCTCAAATATGGCGATGCATGCCTGACCCCCAGCATTTGGGGGGTGGAAGCAGGAGGTGCGGATATTCAAGGAAACCTTTTGTCACAGAGTTTCAGACCAGCCTGGGTAACATGAGGCACTGTCTAAAAAGAAATCAACCAACCAAACAAAAACAACAACGAAAAAAATCCAGGACTGTTGTATTAAAATTTACCCTATGTTTTAAGCTTAGTAGTACAAACACGTTGAGTATGTATGTTAAGAGATAAAAAAAAATTAAGATTTAGAACTCAAGTGTTCCAAATGTAATGGAAAAGGAGGTCTACAATCAGGCAAAGACACAGAATGTAGTATGTACAGTTCCGTCCCCAAAAGTCTGCTTCTGCACGCTCAAAAACTCAAGATAGATTATAGGTATACAGCTCTTTTGGGGCGTAGAGTTTGAAGCTATAGGGAATTCTGCACAGTAATATCAGAATGTTTCTCAGAAGAGGAAATGCTAAAGGAAATATTTTTAAATAATTTGGAATTAATTATGTAGTGAGCCGGGTATGGTGGTGCACGCCTTTAATCTCAGCACTTGGGGAGACAGAGGCAGATTCCTGAGTTTGAAGCTAGCCAGGGCTACAGAGAAACCTTGTCTCAGAAAACAAACAGGAAAACAGAAGAAATAACATAAAACTACAGAGACACTCAGCAGAGTGTTTCTTGTATAATTTTAATGAAACTCATGTACATTCTACACAGTGGTTCTCATATATTAAGAGGTGTGTGTGTGTGTGTGTGTGTGTGTGTGTGTGTGTCTGCTTGTCTGTATGTGTACCACATACATGCAGAGCCAATTCAGGCCAGAAGAGCCCTATTCTGGAGCTGGAGTTGCAGGTGGTTGTTAGCTGCCTGACAGGAGTTCTGGGAACCCACTACAAGAAACTCTTAACTTCTGAGCCATCTCTCCAGCCCCGATATCCAGTCTTAATAGTGTAAAATGAATTCCCCACCTCCAGAAATTCAGACTTGGTAAGTCAGGGCAAGGACCAGGAATATAGAACTTAAAAAAGAATAGGCCAGCAATTCTAGAATATCTGGTATTCCAGATTGCAGAAAATGAGACAAAGTAATACCACAATAAACCAACTCCCCAGCAGTGTTTACATTAAAAAGTGAGGTAGAGTGGATTCTCACCAACTTCACATTGCCAGGACAAATGAGCAGGGGGAAACAAATCCTTGACAGTCTGGTGACATTAGTAAAGCTCTTACAGCAAGTACCCCTTGAGACGAAGACCTTCCCTTTCCCTTACCCGTGTTCCTTCTTCGGCTAGTTCCAGAATCTCACACTTAGACCACGTGTTCCTTAGGCTTGACCACACGACACATTTTGATCCAACAGAGAAGCCTTTCAGAGTGTAGGTGCTCTGTAGCTGGACTGCTAAATTGAATACAGGAAGACTCAGTGTGCATAGTCTAGTACCTTACTGTGAGACATGCAAGAGAAGCACTTTCCTAGTTTACTATCCTTGTCTAATCAGTAACATACAGATACTACTGTAGTGAGATATCTATCCACCAGGTCAGCGCCTGCTGCACTGACCACGCCCACTGGGGCGTGGCTGGTGCAGATGTGAACAGGGAGGCTAGAGCTGGAGTCCGGGACCCCAGCTCCCTCTTTTACTTCCTGGTCAGGTTGCAAAGAGCATCCGGGTGGCATCCGTGGAGCAGGAACCCGCAGCAGTCGTCTGTTTCAGGCATAAGTGAATTCTCCCCAAATAAATACCACTCAACCTATGCTGAGTCCCAGTGAAAGTGAATCTTATTTCCCATGAGATATATTACTATATTTTATTTTCCAAGTATCTCTTCCCCAGTTATATTATACATTGTGTGCGTGTGTGTGTGTGTGGGGGGGGGCCCAGCTCCATATAATCCTAACCACTTCCCCCAAAACAACAAAAGTAAAAACCATCGTTAAATTTGACTTCTAACACTTAAAAGCTGGCACTGTCATTGTTAGTGAAAGTGTTCGTTTCATCGCCATACCCTGCCATACACACATATATGAACATTAAAGTCTTGGATATGAATGTAAAAAAAAAAAAAGAATACAAGGTATTTTTCTTTGTGAGTTTGGGATATTTAGCTTAACATGGTGATCTCTGATTCCACCCAATTTCCTGCAAATGTCTTGATTTCATTTTTCTTTGTGGCTAAATAAAATTCCACTGAGCATATTTACCACGTTTCTGTTGTTGATTCATCAGCTGATGGGCATCCAGGTTGATTCATTCATAGTTATTTGTGGATAATACCACAATAGACATGCATAAGCTAGTTTTATGTCAACACAAGCTAGAGTAATTTGGTAAGAGGGACTCCCATTTGAGAAAATGCCTCCACAGGAGCTACCTGTGTAGCATTTTCTTGACTGGTGATGTGAGAGGGCCCAGTCCATTGTGGGTGATGCACCTCTGGGCTGGTGAGCAAGCCACAGGGAGCAAGCAAGTAAGCAGCACCCCTCCGGTGTGGCTTCTGTATCAGCTCCTGGCCGGAGGTTCTGGCTTCCCTGGATGGTGCACTACAAGCTATAAAGTAAAGCTCTAAAGCCATAGAGTGAACATTTTCCTCCCTGAGGTGCTTCTGGCTATGGTTTTATCATGAAACTCTAACCAAGACAGCAAGACCGTGTGGGAGGATTTAGGAGCCCCTTGGATGTACACCCATGGATGGCTGTAACTTATGACAGTCCTATTTTTAACTTTTTGAGAACTCTCCCTATCAAGCTCTGTAATGGCTCCATCAGTTAATACTTCTACTAGCAGTGGACAAAGGCTCCTCATTCATCTCAGCCAACATTAGCTTGTTTTCTTGATGACAGCCAACCTTACTGGGATGAGGAATTTCCAAGTACTTTCAATTTGCAATTCCCCTGATGGCCAAGAATGTTAAACGTGTCAAGATGTTCTATGTCCCTTCTGTTGAAAATTGTCTACTTAGTCGATCGATCAAGTTATTGACTGGAAACTTTTGTGGGTACTTTTCAACGTTTCATTTTTAAAGATCCCTGTATATCTCTGATGTTTGCCATCTATATGAAATATAGCTGGCAAAGATTCTCACCCATTCTGAATGTATTTTAAAAGATTTGATTTTCATTTACATATGGATCTTTGTGTGCGCATGTGCATGTGTGTGGGTACCCAAAGGCCAGTGGATCTCTCGAACCTGGAGTTACAGGTGGTTGTGAGAATCTAGCTTGGGTCTTCTGCAAGAGCACTGTGCACTACTACCTAATGAGCCATCTCTCTAACCCCTGGACAGGCCGTAAGGACTAAAGCACCGGGCTACACTCGCTATGACAGTATAATAGGCATCTAGTTTTTAAATTGTTTGCAACGGACATACACAGGAACTAAAACATGACCAGAGGAGATAGTACCATGCTGTTTGCACTGAGTATTTATTTCTTAGTAATAAGAACCTGTGATTCTCACTCTCCTTATACTGTTACTTTCTCCATTTTTGCATCAACAGTATAAACAAATGTAGACATTTGAAAAGCATAAGACTGGTCATGAAAAGTGAAATGACGAAACTGCTTCATGTGACTTTCATCTTTTTGTTGTTATTTTCTTGGGGATAGAGAGATGACCCGGCAGTGAAGAATGTGTACTGGTTTTCCAGAAGGTTGCTCTGAAGGTTTTTGTGGTTTTCTTAAGAAGCAAAGAAAACAGCAAGTAAGAAAGTTAATGTTTATTGAGTGCAAACGCCGAGATTTCTCCCGACTGTTGGCTTTTTTTTTTTTTTTTTTTTTTTTTTTTTTTTTTTTGATTAACAGAAGCTCCCTAAATCTAATTTTTGTTTAGTTTTCTAAATGGATGGCAAAATCAATATATATGATGCAGTTAAGTCTAGGAAAAAAGCATCAGGCAAAGTGATCCCCACTGTACATTTATTTATTTACAGGCATGTTTGACTAAGGGAAGGCCATATTTTTAAAGCTTAGCAAGTCATTTGCTGTCTTGATTTTAACATACAATTCCTTACAGTTTACATGCGATTATTCCTTTAAGACACGGATTTTAGTCATTTTACTTTATAAAAGTTTCTGTGGTATGCATATGTGCCCTCAATGTGTGCATGCAGGAGCATTTGGGGTGAGACAAGGTGTCAGAATCCCTGGAGCTAGAGAACTGTATAGATGCTGGGAACCAAACCTGGGTCCTCTACATGGCTCCCCTTAAGCATTCTTAACTGCTGAACTTCTAGCTCCTACGTTGTTTTATTTTTAAAATAAAATTAATGTTCTGTCATTTCATTTAGCATTTGTCATTTGACACTGATCTTACAGCTACGTTTTCCATGCTTCAAAATGTCCTTTTTGCTGGGGCACAATGGCATGCCATCCCCAGCACCCAGGAGGCTGAGCCCAAGGGGCACGAACTCAAGGCTATTCTGGCGTATAGACAGAGACGATCTTGCTAAATAAACAAAACTTAAATGCCCTTCCTAAAACGCAAATCTGAATACCTTCCTTGTGTTTACCTTTACTTAGAAATTGTAACTCATACAGTAGCTATCCACCATTTTTGAAAACAAACACAAGCCACTGAAAGACTTCAAGGTGGCCTTGAGCAACGCACCTGGTAGAGCGCGCCCGCACTTCTTTCTGTCCCTGGCTTCTTCCTCGGAGAACAAAGGTGACAATAATGCAGTATCATCTCTGCTTTCAAATTGTGGAAACACATCTTCCAACAGGCTCGTTTCGTCATGTGCCGGGGAATCCCTACTCTTCCCGTGGTAGAGTGGTGATATGCTGTGGCCATCATCAGACGAGCCCATACAACTAGACTTCCTGTCATCCTCTGCACACGGGGACTCCTGGATGTTCTGATTGGCGATTGGCGATAAAGGACTTATACTGTCATCCAAAGACAGCTGGGGTGTGGGGAGTTCCAGTTCTAGCTGCTTCTCAGCCTCACAGTCCAGGGGAAGCTGCACCATAAATGGTTCCAGGGTGGCACCTGCCTCATAGCCTGGGGACAATGGTGCCATCGGAGGCTCCAGTCCTAGCTCCTTCTCTAACTCACTGATAGGGGAGTGCTGTAACTCAATGGATTCCAATTCTAAGAATTCTTTGCATTCGTCGTCGGGGGACAGTGGCACCTCTAGTGAATTCAGTTCCAGTAACTCCTTCGGTTCACTAGCATGGGACATTATTGGGTTAAACCCTGTAATGAGGTAGTTATCGTCATACTTGGCTCTGTCCACAGTATGGTAATCCACGCTACCCTCCAGCCTCTCAGAACCCATTTTAGCTCTGCGGGAGTTCTCCAGAGCCTCAAAAATGTTCCGGGTGCTACGTGGGTAGAACTTACTTGGCTTCGTTTCAATGTTCAAATCCTTTTCAATTATCTCCGAGAGCTCACCTGCCCGGCCTTCCACATACGACCTCTCTTGTGTCATTTTATGACTTGGCACCTTAAGGCCAAGGTCAGGACTGGTGGGTCCAAGGCCCACCGCTCTCTCTGTGCCATGCTTATCATAGAATAGGTCACTCTTGGGAAGGCCCATGTTAGCGTATCTGCTCATCTTCTCATTAATGCTTTCGCCTTTGCTTTTGAGCTCCACAACTGCTAAGGGGATGTCACAAACATCCCTTTTCATTTCCAATATTGTTATTTCCAATACATCTTCTGTAACTATCTCATAAAAATAATCATTTCCTTCTTGAGGACACACTCCACCAGAGACGGTGAACCCAGACAGGCAGCATGGGAATGCTTGCATGGGGACAGACAGAAGTTCAGACGGGATGCTCCAAAGTGCTTTGGGGTCCACACAGTCTTCAACGTTCCCAAAGTCCACAAGCCTGACAGATGCAAGGTGGTCTTCACATACATTAGTGATGAGGGCCCTGTAATAATTCCCATCTTCCCGGTACTTCACAATACACGGATCTCCAGTTCGGGGACACTGGGTACAGCTTCTTCGGTCTGCCAGCTGCTTCGCAGCGCTTTGAACCTCGGTTTCTAAGTACTGCAGCTTTTCAGAGTCAGCAAACTGACACCAAAAGTACTCAGGTCCGTCTATCACGGTGGCATAGGCTCTTATGGACTTTGTTTGGGGGTTGTACCAGTTAAGAAACACTGAAGTGTTGGTGCTGAGTTTGTTAGCCGACTTGAAACAGTCCCCTTTGGTGATATGAGTGCTAAGCCCCACCGGAGATTGCTCACTGAATGGAAACCTGCTAATCATATCCTCAGCTATGATTCCATGTTCGTCTGCAAGAATCACTTCCCAGGTACCTTGGAATTTAACAAATTCACATCTTAGCTGTACCTCATCTGTCCTTTGGGTAAAGTAGTCCACCATTTCCTTACAGCGTACTATGCCGGGTATCAAAAGCCCCCTTAAGGAGCAATGGAGGCACAGAGCTGGTAACACAGCATCAGTGGGACCAACCTTACCCGTTTTGTTAGTGTGGACCACAGACATGTTGCCATAATCTATAAACTGCACAGAGAGAAGGTCCTTGGGTTGTTGTTCCATGACAACTGCTCGGTACCATAAGTTGTCTTCTGGAAAAATGGCACATATCACATCTCCAATTTGCCACGGAAGACCCGTGTGACACTGGGGCCTTGTTCTGACATCATTTAACCTCTCTGAAAGCCCATTGATCTCAGCTTCGTCTTCTATCAGCTGGATGTAAAAATCGGAAAGGTCGTTAATATGCGAGACATATACAAAGGTCTTAAAACCTGGGGCTATTGTCTTCTGTGGGAACTCACAGAACTTTGGGGGCAGATCTTTGCTTCCAGGTTCCCCCACTCTTCTCTCAGGAAGGGCGGAGTCTAGTTTGGTGGCACTCACAGGTGAGCTGGCAAACATATCGTCTTTCTTTTCTCTTGCTAATGGAAACCCTCCGTCATTTCTGTTTCCCATCGAGTCCTGATATGGGACTAGGTTGGCCTTCATCGAGCCTTGTAGATATCTGAGCTCCGTGCGCGCTGGGCTGACCTTGGGCTTGCACGGTTCGCCCATAATCTCTCCACTGTGTGGTTTGCTCTCTCCTGATTTATTCAAATATTCTGTAGGTGAGGACTTCACCACATTCTCATCTTCAAGGGTTTCGGGCGTGCAGAGAATCATCTCATTCTCTTTGTCATTTTTTCTTGTAGTGTTTTTATAACCAAGAAACCCTAGCTTCTCATTAATACTAGCATTGACTTGGACACTTTCATCATAGAGCTCTATAATCAGTCGTCCATCTGGGTCTTTTGCTACCACCAAAGCCTTCAGGGACTTATCTAAAACAGTCTCCTGAAACCAAGCTGTAACTTCTTCTGGGATGTGATGAGGAATGTCAGATAAGGAACACTTAACTGCCTGCATGGGTAAAAGCAAAACATCATAGGCATCTCGGGGGATTGGAAGCAGATGATCACTTGCTACATAAGTGTTCCCAAAATCAACAAAGAAGACTTTATTTGGCTCTTTCTCTGTTATTACTCCCCTGTACCAGTTCCCATCAGTATATTTGGCAAGGCACAAAGTTCCGGGGATCAAGGTGGATGCTTTTAAATTCAGCAAGGCTTTACTTAGTTCTATAATGTTGTATGATAACTGTTCTAAAATATTTGTATTTCTTGCTAGTTGGCAATAAAATGTCCAGGGATCTTCAACATGTGTTATGTACACCAATTCTTCACTTCCTATTTTTAGGTCATGCGTGGAATAGTAGTAAGAATGGAGCTGAACAGAGGGTTCCAGAGGCTTCTGAAGTCTCACGGGCCTAGCAAGTCTCTTTTCTACCAAAAAATGGCAGGCACTCTGAAAGGGCGTTAGCAAGTCCACAACATTGAACCACTCTTCATCATGCCTGGACGCCAAAGCAAAGATTGTGCATTTTAATTCTAAGTTATTCTGCCAAGCGTTGTCTATGAAACCACTAAAAGCCTGTACCGCCTTTTCATCCCAAACAAAGGGATTGTCACCGGTTGGCTGAATTAAATTATAAAGACTGCACCGAAATGCCTGAGCTCTAACCTTGAGGAACGGGTCACTAACAGAGAGAATGTTCTTCATAGATACCACATCTTTGTCTCCATAGTCTACAAATACCACTCTGACGTGCTCCAAAGACTGTGTGCCACTGATCAGAGCTCTGGACCATCTTCCATTTGCTGCGCGCTTCGCCAGACAAGCACGTGTGTCCCCCTCATACGGAGCTGGTTCACTCTTGCAATAGTCCTCAATATCACACATCAGGGTTCGGAATCCCTGCGCGTTCCTCATCAGCTGACACCAGAAGGAGCCAGGGGATTCGATGTGAGACACCTTCACTTCAACGGTACTGCCCACTTCCAGCTCCCCTTTTCCACAGCAGTCTGGCATCGTTTTCAGGAAATTCAGCGTAAGGAGAGAATAATCAGATGTTACCTTCTCCTTGTCCTGCCCAGTCTGTCCGGTGAAAAGGTTTCCTGTATCGGCCAAAGCTTCAGAAAGAGACATGGTTTTATTGCCTTTCTTGGCTCTCTGGTCTCCTTCGACCTTCTTGGCAGAAGATATTTTGCTAGTCTCTGCAGTAAACTGACTTGAACCGTGCCCGGGGGAATGGACACTGAGTCTGACGTTTTCTTTGGTTTCAAATTCCTGGTACTTGGCATATCCAGCTTGAGCGATGACTTTGCTAATGTTTTCCTCGCCTGTTCTGGATTCATCGAGAATCTCTATCACATACTGATGGCCTTGCTTATCGAGAATGTGGACCACCAATTCTTTGTGGAGCACTGTCTTTTTAAAAAATGAAATCGCTTCCTGGCTCCATGTTTTCCCCAAAGGCCAGATATCAGCCAGCGAGCACTTGAGAGCCAGTATCGGGAGCTGCCGAAACTGAGGCAGCAGCATCCGAACGTCACACCAGTCTACAGTCTCAGAGTTGCCCCGGTCTACCAAGAACACATCCACACTCTTGCTGTCTAAGCGGCTGACCATGGCCCGGTAGTAGCCATTTTCTTTCCATTTGACACAGCACAGGTCGTCGGGCTCCGGTTTCAGAACGACACCATCCAGCTTACTCGCCGACGAATAGAAGCTGCACATCCTCTTGAGCAGCTTGCTGAACGTGTTCTTGTGCTTCCTCAGGCGGATCCAGAACTCAGAAGGGCTCTTCACAAACTCCACCTGGGCGTCGTAGAAGGCGTTCATCTTCAACCTGATGGATCGTAAAGATGGGAGCGAGACTTCCTCCTCCATTTCCTCCGCAGGGGACTGAGACTGGACCGTCACCTCCACTTCCTCCTCCTCTTCCTCCTCTATCCCCTGGCTCTGAAGAAATCGGTCAGCCAAGCAACAGGACTGTACTCCGAACGCGCTGTTGAGATTGATTCCATCTTCCCCGTACAGGGTGACATAATACATGTGCTCAAAGGAGCAGTAAAATTCAATCTTCGCATTCACCGCCTGGCCCAGGATCAGAGCTTTCAGATCACCTACTTGTGACCGAGACCAGCCTCTCCCACAGTCCCAGAGTCCATACAATGCACAGGGATAGGTCACCACAGGCATTCGAAAATACTCAGGCAGCAAGTAGCGAAGGCTGCTGCAGCTCACGAGCTCTTTTCTTCCGTAATCGACGTGAAGCACCTGGGCACAGCGCTGAGGCCTGAACGTCTCAAGCAAGAGAGCCCGGTACCACTGTCCATCTAAGCCACAGGAGGCACATGGAGACCCCGGCTTGTCTGGGCTCTCCTCCTTCTCCTCCCAGGTGGCACTGCCAGAGTCCTCATCCTCTGTCCCCGTGGAGGCCCGATATACCTGGGCCATGCTCTCAGAGAGGCGGTGGATCTCCTGCGAGAGGCTCCGGAGTTGGCAGTGAATGCGGTGGGGATGGCATACCTGGGTTACGACCACAGGCTCCGTCACTCCCAGCTGCAGTTGGGGATAGAAGTAATCTAACCCAGGATGCTCTTGTTTGGGGGCGGCTCGGGGGAGAACTGGAGCTCCAGAGCAGCCCAGCCCAGCTGCAGTCAGGTAGCGCTTGAGCAGCGAACAGAAGAGACTGTCCGGCACCTGCCTGGCCAGGCCCAGCTCCTCCATCTGCTGAGACACGACAGGCACTTCCAGCAGCACCAGGCGATGGAGGAGCAGTACGTCCAGGACCCGTCCGTGCACCTCCTTACCTTGCAGGTTGCTAAGGAAGTCCACGGCACTTGAGGACCAGTGCTGGGGTTCACCACCGCCCGTGCCACCGCCGCCAGCGGGCACCAGGCCGGCCAGCACACAGCCCAGCACCTCCGAGGGCAGGTGGAAGAACTCGCTGCGCCCCGGTGCCAGCGAGCCAGCGCCAGCCGTAATGGTGCGACCCTCATCCAGCAGGAAGACGCGGCTGTCCTGCGCCTGACGGCTGACCACGCGGCAGCGGTGCCACATGAGTCCCACCTGCACCAGGCACAGCTCTCCTGGCGATGCCGAGGCGCCACCCAGAGCCCATGGGCCGCGCGTGGCTGCGGCCTCCTGGATCTCCCGGCTCAGCCGCACATACTCTTCCCGCCGCTGGCCCACCAGTCCCCACAGCTGCACCGGGATCACCTCGGGATGCACGTCCACGAAGGATACCCGCAGGGCCAGGGAGGCCCCCGGAGTGGGCAGCCCGGGAGTCGAACTCATGTCTACAGCTGGTGCAGAGCTTCCCCGTGCGTCCGGAGACAGTCCCACCGAGCCAGGCCCCGGTCACCAACGCAAGGGAAAGGACGCCTAGAGAGGCGACCCTTCGGCCAAGTGCCCGGCACAGGGCCTCGGGGACTCGCGACTGGTAGCAGCCGGCGGCTGGCCAACCGCCCACCGCGCCTCGCAGGCTTGGCCAGCGCGTGGCTGCCAGCCTTCCCGGCGCGGGGAACCTCAAGGCTGCCTGGAGGGTGGCCTCCGGGCACAGGGGACAGCGGAGGACCGCCAGCAAGCCTGGGGAAAGCAGGGTTAGGGAATAGCCTCCTTCTTTCCAGGATAGCTTGACTCCAGGATGCTCAGTAGGAATGCCTGGCAGAGATCCTCTAGGAGGGTAGGGCAGGGAGGTCACTTCCTTTCTGGTTTTCCTGCAGTGGATGGAGCACAGCGCGCCAAGCACGGTGCGAGCCATTGAAATTCCCAAAGAGAAACTGGGAAGGAAAAAAATGGAGGCCCCAACGGTGCCTTCCTGGACGTTGAGGCTGGAACTTTCATTGCTCTAGGCAAGGCTTAGCGGAGGCCCAGCAGTGCGCTTGCGCAGGGTTCCGATGAATTTCCCCTTGGTCTGGAGCATTGGAGACCTGGACCAGGTTGCTTTGGCCTCTCTAATCCGTGGCCCTGTTTCATGTATGAATGACAGATTCCTTAGGCATTTACAATTAAGTTTGAGGTCAATGTTTCCTTCCCTGCCTTGTTACCTAGCTCCGTGCAACTTTGAAGACATTCCTATGGATTCTTGGCGAGCTCCTAAGAAGATGCAGTGAGGGGAGCCCAGAACACTGAGTTATTTCTTCTAACTCCTGCAGTGTCTGCTAAATCAGAAGATTTCTTCTCCCTCCCCTAACTCTTACCAAAGCAAATCATAGAAATCTCGGTCAAGGGGTGAAGGGCTATGGGAGCCTAGTAGACAACTACATTAGATGAGTTGTCCATTCACAAAGAGCATATATCGTTGGGGGACTTTTCACTTTGTGCATATATTTCATCACACTGCAGGTTACAGAATATATGAACACAAGACAGTACTCAATTGTTGTCCTGGCCCAACTAAATTGCCGTATGTTCCATATTAGAGGCTTCCCACGCTTCTAAATCTCCCAGCGCTATTTCTTTCTGTTATCATTTCCAACATTCTGGGGTCCCATGGCCACACACACATGCATCATTAGGCTTTCAGGGAAAATGCTTTGTCACATCAGGTGTTAGCATTTCCGGGTCAGCTGCGCATGCACTGTTAGCATTCCGGCAAAATGCCTAGTCATCCACGGCCTTATGTAATCTAGGCACATGCACAGCATGGCCACGTAACCTATGCGTGGTGGGGCTACCTGAATGACTTTTAAAAGCAAACAGGGCAGCTCCAGTCCCTCTCTCAGACACGTTTTTTCCAGACAGAATTGTGCACACACCCTCTTCCCTTCCCCTACTTTACTAATAAAACTGTTAAAGTGGGTTTTGTTGTATATCTTGTGGTCTGTTCTTGTGCATGGTAAGTAACACTTTTCCCCATTACATTGCAGTTTATCACCTGGCTTCCCACTAGCCTGCATGGGGTGGAGGAAAGGAAATACCTTAGCTCTTGAATGAACAAATTTGATTTCTCAAAGTTTTTACTTCTTTTCCATTTTTATTTCCTGTAACTTTATTTTTCATTATGGAAGAAAAGCAAATATTGAATTAAAAAAAATAGCAAGGGGCTGGAGAGGTGGCCCAGGTGTTAAGAACACCTATTGCCCTAGCAGAACACTCAGTTTACAATTCACAATCTTGTCACATTGGGTGGCTCATAAATGCTTGTAACTCCAGCTCCAGATAATCCTATGCCCTCTTCTGGGCTCCATGACCACCTGCTCTCTCTCTCTCTCTCTCTCTCTCTGAGCTGGAGAGATGGGTCAAAGGATCTGGGTGTAGCCCTTAGCACCCTTATGGTTTTCCACAATCTGTAACTCCAATTTCAAGGACTCTGATGTTACCCTTTGGCTTCTGCAGGCACTAGGCAAGTACACTGAGCACATACCCATATGCTGCCAAAACACTCATACACATGAGTAAAAATAAGACATTACAAAAGTATTTAGCAGGAATGACTCTGTTATTCACCAGACAGAATTGGTTGTTCCTGCCTTCTGCAGTGCCAATGTTACAGGGAGCCAACCATAGATGACTATCAGACACTGTTTATAGCCAATTGAAAGTCTTTATTCCAGCTGGTTGCAGACCTACATGTAGCACCAAGTGTCCAGAATACAGGGCTTTTGAAGGCAGAAACTCTGGCATTCACTTGGGGTGGGGAAGGCGATTTTGTGCAAGCAAACAATTTGACAGAAGCCAAGGCTGGTGGTTTGTTGTGGAATATTATTTTAAGATATCTGCATTTGCTTATGCTGTGGAACATTTGTTTTAATGATGCAAAGATGTGTTGCATTCTTTTATGTTGCATTTGTTTAACTCTGTGAAGCTGTGATTATTTGCCTGTCTAGAACACCTGATGGTCTAATAAAGAGCTGAATGGCCAATAGCAAGGCAGAGAATAAATAGGAGGTGAAATCTGGGAAGGAGAAAGTAGCAAGATAGAACAAGAAGAGAAGATAATAGAGGCCATCCAGCCAGCCACACAGCCAGCCATGGAGGAAGAGTGAAAGTAAGATATACAGAAGGAAAAAAGGAAAAAGTCCAGAGGCTAGGTAGATGGGACTATTTAAGTTAAGAAAAGCTGGCAAGAAACAAGCCAAACTAAGACAGGCATATATAAGGAAGAATTAGAGTCTGTGTGTGATTTATTTGGGAGCTGGGTGATGGGCCCCCAAGGGAGCCCAAAGAGGTGAAGAGTAATTAAACAAACAAAAGAAAACAAACTCCCTCCTGAGAGGCCTCTACCTTCAGCAAAGGGAAAGGAGATATTTTAATTCTAACCCTATAAACAAGGGCCAAAGGGGGAAAGGATAAGGCCATGGATGAGATAAAAAATATCTGAGAGGGGTTTTGATACTATATTTTGAGCTATTTTAATATTTTTTAATAAAAATAAGACCAAAAAACACCTGAGAAAAATCAAACAGTACTTTTTTTATGCTATCCAAACAAAGTACAGAGTCTAGTGTATGAATGAACCATGTTTATCTTTAAAATTCTTATTAGATGTATATATTTTATTTGATGTATTTTGCCTGCATATATGTCTGTGTACCACATGCGTGCTTGGTCAAAAGAGGGCATCAGAGCCCTTAAAACTGGAGTTACAGACAGTTGTGAATCAAGTATAAGTGCTGGGAGTCAAACCTGGGTCCTCTGTAAGAGTAGCCAGTGCCTTTAATGGCTGAGTTGTCTCTCTATCCCTAAATAATGTTTAAAGATGCTCCAGTTAATATTTAAAATGTAATTCAAGCATGAAAAGTGAAAATCACAAGCTAAATATTCTGAGAAAAAACTGTGCAAATAACACATTCATACTTGTATCCACGGCATGTTCAGGCTTATACCTACAACACACATAATAACTTTCAAAGTTTCAAGTCAGCAGTAAACAATCCAATGTGTCCCTGGGCATGATAGCACAGACTTTAATCCTAGTATGGGAGGCAGAGGCAGGCAGTTCTCTGTGAGTTCTAGGACAGCCAGGACTTTGTAGAGAAAACCTGTCTCAAAAGAACAAATGTAATTTGAAAATGGGCAAAAATCATAATTAGCCTCAATGCCAACCTGACATAGCCTAGCTCTGAGAAATCCTCAGGTGAGGAATTGTCAAGATCAAATGTGAGCATTTCTGTGAGCCACTCTCTTGGTTACTGATTGATATAGGAGAGCCCTGTCTGCTGTAGGTAGGTGGGCCTGGTTGATAAAAGGAAGCCAGCTGAGCTTGAGACGGAGAGCAAATGAGAGAGAGAGCCAGCAAGCTATGCTCATCCATGGTTCCTGCCTCCAGGTTTCCGCTTGAGTTGCTACCTTGACTCCCCTGAATAATGGATCACGACCTGAAAGCACAGGCTAAATAACCACCTTCCTCCTCAAGCTGCTTTTGGCCATGGCAGTAACAGGAAAGCAAAGTAGAAGCATTTCAAAGTGACATTTTATCAAAGAGGATATGCAGCTGTCAAAGGAGGACATGAAAATGTTCTCAGCATCATTAGCAGCTGGGGAAGGCAAAACCATGGTGATACAGTACTACACATCAGTGGCAACATCCTAGGAACCAGACATTAGATGCCCACACAGGGAGAGGGGACATGACTACACAGCGAAAACGGTGAACTGCCAGGACTGCTGGCTTCTTCCTTACCCTCCTGACTAGAGACAAAGGCCCCCAGCTGCTTAAAACAAAAGCTCCACAGGCCTCATTCTGCCAGTAGGATGCTCCAGCCTGTAGTATGTGTTTACCCCAAACTTGTGCGCCCATCAGCCGCCTTGTCTTTGTCCAAACTGACTATGAATAAATTGGGGGAGGAAGACTCCTCAAAGACCCTGAGGCTTCCAGGAAAGCCAGACCCCTGCTTCCAAGGTCCACTGGGAAGCACCATGTCCCTTTAGCTGTGTATTCCATTGTGTGTGTCTCCTCACCTCTACTAAAAGCCCTTCTTCCCCGTTGAAGCTGCCTGCTGCTGTCCGCTGTGTCAGAGACGGATACATTTCCAGTCGCGCTACAGATTATCTTTGCTTTTTAATTCTTTAACTGGCAGAAACAATGAACCCATCAAGACCCTTAGGCAATAATATGTCTACCATAAAAAGGAGACTAACAAGTCGACAAGATGGCTCTACAGATAAAGGAGGTTGCTGCCAAGTCTGGCTACCTGAGTTCAATCCCCAGGACCCGTAGAGTGGGAAAAGAGAGAGGGCACCCACAGGCTGTCTCCAGACATCCACACAGGCAGGGTGACATGCACACATACCCCCGACATTCGCACAAATACATGTGACTTGGTTATTTTTAAAATTTAAATTTATGGCAGTGTGCATGAAGATATGAAACAAAGGTCCCTATTGAACATATCAAAGCAGACCTGGCCACCAGGCTCTCCCTGCATCCCTCAGCCCCTACCTTCCTTTCTGGCATGCCCCGACTCCTACCCTAAACTTCCTCAGCCCTGGAGCTGGGCGGCTCTTCACTATATAATCCAGC